CGTAGCTCCCACTGCCCATGGGTGAAAGTTTGACCTCTTCAGTCTGGCTTATGGAGCCTCCTCATCCCTGGAATCCCACAGTCCAACCACACTGTCGCTCTTGGAATGGGCTTGTGCTGAGATCTGGGCTTCCCCTTTGTGTTTCCTCTGTGTGTGTGTGTTAGGTTGACGCAAAAATACCCCAGGGGTGGCCCAGTGGCCAAGCAGTTAATTTCATGCTTTCCACTCCGGCGGCCCTGGGTTTCACTGGTGCGGATCCTGGGCGCAGACATGGCACCGCTCATCAGGCCATGCTGAGGTGTCATCCCACATAGCACAACCAGAGGCACTCACAACTAATATACAACTATGTGCTGCGGGGCTTTGGGGAGAAGAAGAAGAAGAAGGAAGAAGAAAAGAGGATTGGCAACAGATGTTAGCTCAGGTGCCAATCTTTAAAAAAAGAATACCCCAATTTTTCACTCCTGCCCTTATCATGCCCATTTGCAATGTGACATTGCAGCTCCGCCCACACTCCTTGAATCTGAGCTGGCCTTGTGACTTGCTTTGACCAACAGAATGTGGCAGAAGTGATGTTAGGCCAGTCCCCACCCCATGTGAATAAGCCCTGGCCAACCAGCAGATGCTGAGAGGCCCATGGCCCAGTCACCCCTGTCACCCAGCCACAGCTTGCCAACCCAGCCAAAGCTCCAACTGACCACAGATATTTGAATGAACCCAGCGGAGCTCAACCAAGCTCAGTCCAGACCAGCAGAACTGCCTGGCTGACCCACAGAGTCATGAGCAGCAATACACAGTGTGTTGGTTTAAGCCATGCAGTCTTGGGGTTGTTTGCCATGCAGTGTAAGCTACCTGAGACACTCTGCCTAGACTTACCCACCTACCTTCTCCGGACTGTTGCCCACTTATCTTTTTGGCCCCAATGTAGATGTCACTTCCTGGGAGAAGCCCTCCCTGACCCCCTGGAAGGTTAGGGACCCCTCCTCTGGTTGCCAGCAGCCCCTGGACTTGCTGTCTGGGAGCCTCCAGCACTCTAGCTACAACTCTGCCTCCCGTCTCCCACACCAGCCTTTGAGCTCTGCGGGGTGGGAGGAGGGCCGTGTCTGTCCTATTCCGGGTGATGTCCCTAGTGCCCAGCATTGTGCCTGGCACACAGTAGGTGCTCAACTGTGGAATTGCTGTGGAAGCAGGGCCAGAGCCCAGCCTGGCTGAGCGGAGGGAGCCTGAGAACCATCTGCGGGAACACGCTAGAGCAGGAGACGAGATGAGCAACGAGGCACACAGAAGCTGGCGCAAACGGGGGCAGCAATTTTGATCACATTCGTGGGGCATTTCCAAGAACTGAGAACTTGAGAAAGACTCGGCGACGCAAACATCCCCACGAGCTTCATCCACAGCCTGTTCCCGGGCTGTGCCAGCATAGAGCTTTGCGTTCAGACGGAAGAAGTTCTGCAATGTGCTGCCTGACCTAAGACTTCCTCAGGAGGGCTGCCTCTTCACAGCGAGGTGGCCGTGGGAGGCTCCGGCTGCTGGGGGACCCCTGCTCGCTGCCCCTCTGCGACCTTTCCTGAGGCCTGTGTGGAGCTCAGGTTCTCATGGAAACTTTTTTACCGTCTTGGGACATTGAATGGGCTCCTCCTGCACATGAGCTTTCCTATCTTCTGAACTTTTGGAAGCAGTTACAAGGTGTCTGTTTTGTGTCACTCTAGCCCCTGTGGCATCAGGACTTTAGGCATCATTTGTGACTTTAGGTCAATAAATGCATAGAGGGCAGGGCAGAAATAGTAATAGATGTTCAATATCCATGTAAATATTTCCTATTCGCTATTTTATATATACACTTAGGACCTGGGCTTAGATCTTCCTAAGTCCACACTGTGGGCTGCAACCTGGAAGCCCTCTGTGTTAGTTAATAAACTACAACTCCAAAATCACAATGCCTTAAACAAGAACGCAGGAGATCATTCTCTCATGAAACGCTTCAAGTAGAAGTTGCACAGGGCTGGTTAGGCAGCATGGCTCCTTCTTTCTTGATGCTCTGCCGTTTTCTGCCCACAGGTTTTACCTCATGATCCAAGATGGCTGCTGCTGTTCTGGTCATCATGACTACATTCCAGCCATCAGGAAGAAAAGAAGAGAGGAAGTGGAGGACACCTCCATTCTCTGAAATGCATAACCTAGAGACTGCGTATATCACTTTAGATTATACTCTGTTGGCCAGACCTTAATGTCATGTCACTGCAGGTGCAAAGGAAGCTGGGAGACGCAGTCTCGTGCCGGGTGGCTAGGCGCCCAGCTAGAACTTGGGTGATATTGCTAAAAGAAAGAAAGGGAATGAATATTGGGGACAGCTAGCACTTGTTCCCCCCTTTCCTGAGATCCCTCTATTATATCCATCTCTTTATGTGCCTGTCTCCCACACCAGGGGCTGCTCCTCTGAATCTGGCTCACGTCTCTGGGAAGGGAACTCATATTTATTGAAGGCCTGCTGTGCACTGTGGCTTTTGTGTCAATAACCTCATTAGTCCCTGTAGACAATTCTACCAACTGGGATGATTCGCCCCTTTAAAGCTGAGGGGCCTGAGGCCCAGTAAAATTCAGGGACTTGGCTTGAAGTCGCACAGCTGGGAAGGGCACCCGCTGTCTCGCTGGGGACACTGTGGGGTGCCGTGAGTGTGCGTCTCTACCTGGGGGCTGGGGGCAGACTGCCATCAGTCCCTGCTGACTCAGTGTCGAGGGAGTCATGCCCTCTCCTCTGAGAGGCGAGATCGGGGTGAGAGAGCTCTGTGACCCTGAGGCTGGCCAGGTCCCAACCCAGAGACTTGCTCCCTCCAATCCACCTCTGAGTCCCCAGCGCATCCTGGCCTAGGGGCCGCTTCTCTAGATGGGGTTGAGCGGAGACATGACTGTCCACGACAGGCATTCCACAAACCTGCCGCCTGTCGCCGCCTGGAGACGAGGTGGGCAACACCCTCTCCTCGGCCTGAGTCAGCAGCTCTTGCCTTTATACGTGGCCAGTGCCCCATCAGTGGCTGTCAAATCAATTGTAATTAAGGAAGTATCTTTAATTACTCTCTTCCAGGAAAACCAGAGAACGTTCTGGTTTTAGAGTAAATGTTTTCTCTGGATGCGAGGCTGAGACAAACGTACCACTCCGCAGAATAAGTGGACTGGGGTGGGGGAGTCTGGGGTCAGGGCTGTCTGCCAGCAGGGCAGCTGCAGTACCACTGTGCCTCCCACTGCCGTGCCTGGCCCAACACGGCCTCTGAAACGGAGGCTGAGACCTGCGGGGCCAGCATGGGGATCTTCTCCCTCCTCTTCCTGCGTGGGAGGGAGCCTGGTCTAGCCAGACATCACCGACTTAGACAGAGTCCATCCCCTCTGGGTCACCGCTGTTCGGCCCACCCGGCCTCCGGCCCTCCTCCTGGTAACATCACCCCTGGGTTTCCCCTGGGCTCTTCCTGTCCCCACCCACAGACCATTTGGTTTATATGGGGTTAACTCTACTTGTGCTGCAGGGGCAATCAGGTGACCCAGCCTGGCCAATGAGAACCCTACCTGGGACCTTTGCTGGAAATGTCAGCAAAGAGAAGCCAATTTTCTGCATGGCTTGCTGAGCCTGGAGCTGCTGGTGGCCATTTCTGCCACCTCTTGGGGATAGTTGGCCTGTGCAAGAAGCCAGCACAGAGGAAGCCAGCACAAGAAGCCAGCACACAGCCAGAAGGGGAGATGAAGAAGCCTGATCACATCCTCTGAACACCTGCATCCAGCTGTGCCTGAAGCCCTGGGCTTTTTGTTTAGGGGAACCAATAATTTCTTCCTTTTGGTTCAGCCCTATTGAGTCGGATGTCCTGTCACTGGCAGCCAAAGGAATCCTGACTGACATCACCCGGGGAGACAAAGCAAAGAGGGGCAATAGATGGAGATTCCAGCTATTACCTGCCCTAGCCCCACTATGGCACCGGGGATCTTCCAGCTCAGGCTCCTGTCACCCCTTCCCACCTTGGAGGATGGGATTAACTCTTGGGAGCTATATCTCCACCTTGTTCCCCTTGCAGGTGGTGTCCCCAGTAAGGCCAGCTCTGAGCCAAGGCCCGGGTAATGCCAATAGTCTCCCATCATCTGCTGTGTTGCAGGAAGTGGGATGACCACAGAAAGTCTGCCATCTCATCTAATCCCTTCAAGGTCAGATACCATATGATCCAACTATTCCTCTGCTGGGGATTTATCCAAAGAACATGAAAACACTAATTCAAAAAGATACATGCACCCCTATGTTCATTGCAGCATTATTCACAATAGCCAAGACTTGGAAGCAACCTAAGTGCCCATCAATAGATGAATGGATTAAGAAGATGTGATACATATACTCAATGGTATTCCTACTCAGCCATAAAAAAGACAAAATCATGCCTTTTGCAACAACATGGATGGACCTTGAGGATATTAGGCTAAGAAAAACAAGTCAGACAGAGGAAAGCAAATACCATATGACCTCGCTCATCTGTGGAAGTTAAACAAACAAACAGATAGATAAGGAGAACAGATTGGTGGTTACCAGAGAGGAAGGGGTGGGGGAGGGTGGAGGGGTTAAGGGCACACACGTATGGTGAACGATGGAAACTAGACTTTGGTGATGAACACAATGCAGTCTATACAGAAGCTGAAATATAATGATGCACACCTGAAATTTATATAACGTTATAAACCAATGTGACCTCAATCAAGTTAAAAACATGCTCTTCTGCAGATAAGGAGGCTCAGAGAGGTGACAAAGCTTGCTTGCAGTTTCACAGGTCACCTGGATCTCTGTGACTCCAAAGTTGGGGCTTTTCCCATTCCCAAGCTTGCTCCCTTCATCCCACATCCCCAGGGGGTCTGCCAGTCGTTCACACCAGGCATCCCAGCATCAGAGACGAGGTGGATGCTGGCCGGTTTCAATCCATCCTGTGGATAAAGAGCTTGAGAATGACAAAAACCGCCACCATTAACACCAGGTCTAGGAGCTGAGCTTTTAATGCCCCAATTTGCCTTAGTCTCAGGCAGAGCTGGGAGGGATGGAGCTTCTGGCTTTGGTGATGTGGCGAAGGAGGGGGCAGTTACTGTGGCAGCTCAATTCTGACGCCCCCGAGTTCCAGACAGGAGAATGGACTGCAGCCACTGAAGACAGGCTCAGCGAGGGAGCTGGACTCGGGGACCTGTGAACATCCCCAGGGAAGGTGGGCCCCGCTGAATTTCCCACTCTTTGTTTCTAAGCTCTTCGAGACAAGGGCGACATTAGGGATTCAGCTCTTCATTAAATGTAGGCAGATGAGCATGGCTTCTAGAAGCTGTATACTGGCTCAGAGATGCTGTGGCCCAGGTGCTGGGCAGGAGAGCGAGCGGTTTCCAGAAGCTGAGAGAAAGGCCTGTCTCTTTAAAGGCTGCATTGGGAAGAGGGGGCTCCAGGGCGGAGCTTTGACCCCAGACTCCAGTGCCCTGGTGTTGTGTTTTCAGACCTGATGACTGTCTTCTGCCTTCCTTCCACTGTCCCTTCCTGCAGCCCAGCCCCAGCCCTGGTCTGGCCTTGACGCCTGGCTAACTTTTAAAATGCTGCTGAGGCTGGATGCTCGGAGCATCGCCTAATCTCAAAATGGTCGCTATCAAGAGGAGATGATCATAGTAACTAATTAACTTTGATATTATTCATAACGTTAACTACAGTCTGTACAGCTCCTTACCACTTACAAAGTGCTTACACACACACACACACACCCTCACTTGATCTTCACAGCAGCCATGTGTCGGCAGGGCTGGGGATCCGGGTATCTATTTTATAGGGGAAGAAGGTGAGGCCTCAGGAGGGAGCCTATTGCTCAGGGTCAGCAGTGGAGGATGAGCTGCTGCTGGGAAGGTGGGTTTGAGAGGACAGGTGCGCTCTCCCTGCCCATTCATCCCTTCATTCATGCCTCCATTCATCCCTTCCCTCATCCATCTAGCAGTTATTAAGCACTACTGTGTGCCCCAGTCTGCGCTAGACACTTATCCCTAAGCTGGGACACTTTCCCAGAGAGCAACAGTTCTGTGTTCCTGAGAGATGAGCTGGGGGGAAGAGGGGTACAGATCCCACCGGCCCCTGGGAACTCAGGGCTCCAGATTGGGCCGTCCCGGCCAAGAGGGGAGCCTCATTTTTCTCTCGTTAATTATTATTATTATTATTTGTTTAAATTCAGGGAGCCTATGGGACCTGGTTCCGACAGGCATGGCTCCTGGTGGGGCGGCGGTGGCTGTGGGTGGGTGTGGGGGATGGGAGGCTCCTAGAGTGGCCACAGAGTCCTTGGCAGGCCTTAGGCTGGTGCCACCTGGCTGGTCTCCGTCTTGGAGGCAGTGGTGGAGGCCTCGTCGTCACCCAGCGGGTTCTTGCCGCAGCAGAGGGTGGTGATCATGCAGTTCCGGAACTGGAAGGCAAGGGGCATGGGTCAGTGGCAGGGGCCACCGGAGTGTGCACAGCAACTCTCGTGGTTGGCAAGGTCTCCCTCCGACCCTGCCTCATTTCTGGCCCTCAGAGCCTCCACTCCCCTCTCAGATCTGGCTCCCTGGAGGGAACTTGCTAAGCATACTTGACCCCACCCCAGAAGTGCCAGGGACCAAAACCAAAGCGGCTGACATTCCATGATGCCCTCTGTGTGCCATGGGCTATCTGTAAATGATCTCATTGAATCCAAGAGTTTGGGATTTCGCCCTTTCTATGGATGAAGAAACTGAAGACGAAGGTCATACAGCTGGAAAACAGCAGAGCTGGGGTTTGAACCCAACATGCCTGACTCCCGAGACCGTGTTTTCCCTGCTGGATCATGGATTCTGCAGAGAAACCACTGGTGTATGTTAAAGGACCACACTATCCATTCATCCCCAAAACAAGACTTTTTCGCTCCTTGTTCAGCTTTGTGGAGACTGGCAATATCCTGTTCTCAGACTTGGGACTTTGACCATTTCACTTCTAAAGTGGCCTCCAGAACCATGGGGACTGGCACTTCTCATACATGAGCCAGAGTCAGAGTCCCCTGCAAGGCTTGTCAGAAATGCAGGTTCCTGAGACCACCCTGAGTTTCTGATTCAGCCGGTCCAGGGAGGGCCCGGGAATCTGCATTTCTCCCAGAGGACTCTGATGCCCCGATAGAGACCAACTCCTCTACTAGATTTTACAGGTGGGACAGCTGAGGCCCAGTGGAGGATGTGGCTCATCTTCTGCGGGCAGTGCCTGTGGCCTGGGGGACCTGGACCCCCCACCCCACCAGCAGGCACCTGCTTGTTCATCATGATATAGATGACGGGGTTGTAGATGGCGGCGCTCTTGGCAAAGAAGGCCGGGAGGGTCATGAAGATGGGGCCAAAGTTGGAGCCCTGGTGAGTGAAGATGTAGAATGCCACACTGGCATAGGGCACCCAGCAGATCAGGAAAGCAATGACCATGATGATGACCATGCGCGTGACCTCCTTCTCGGCCTTCTGGGTGGTGGCTGACTCCTGTTGCTGGGCAGCTGCCTGTAGGGACACAGGGCCTGGTGTCCAGACTGCGGCTCCTTTGGGATGGGGGTTGGGCTCGACCCAATTAATGCCTATGTCCCCAGCACCCAGCACAGGACCGTACCTCCTTGACTGTGAAGACCAGCTGCCCGTAGCAGAAGAAGATGACGATCAAGGGGATGGTGAAGTGGACCACGAACATATAGATGACGAAGGATTCATTGTTGACCTCTGGCTTGAGAGTGTAGTAGTCAATCCCGCATGAGCACTGCATGCCCTCTGGGATGTACCTGAGGGTAGGTGAGGGATGGGGCAGGAGGGACATGAGGGAGACCCACATGTGAAAGACTGAGAAACAGCCACAGCCGACCAGAGTCCTGGCTCCGGCAACATACCTGCTGCGAGGCTGGCCTTGCTCTGAGCCTCACTTTCCCTCTCTGTGAAATGGGGAAAATAAAATATCTACTTGGCTGTGTGACAGCGAGGATCAAATCCACTGAGATAAGAGACTCAAATGCACCTTGTGAAAACAGTGTTGTTTCATTGTTTGTTTGGCGGTGGTGTTATCATGAGACCGCCAGTCTCCCACCTTGCACCGCCTGCGCACTGCTGACCCATGTGTTTCTTCACCCGACTCCCTGTCCACTAGTGGCCAGAGGCCAGGCCTCAGGCTATGCTGGGCAGAGGCCGTGAGGAAGAAGGGAAAAGCTCCCAAGCTCTGTATTTGAGGCAGTTTGTACAAACTGGGGCCTTACTAACAACAGGGGAAGAGTATTTCCTAGGCCAAAGATGGGCACACAGAGTAACTACAGGATCTTTCCACAGTTTCTGGAAACAAGAGGCCCCTGGGGCATGTGGTTAGGATATTTCAATGATTTCAGAGGATGGTGGTATCGGACCGACCTCAGAAAACCTGGAGTGTCTGTTGGCTGTGCCTATGAGGACGTAACTGGGCCAGACTGGAGAGAACAGGGAAAGAGGACAGAAGGGAGCGGGCTTGAATTTAGCAAGGGACAAAAAATTGACTCCAGGAAGAGTGAGAGAGGAGGAAGGGAAGAGAGATTGGGAATTTCCTGGATGCAGAGGGACGCGAGGCCTCTAGGAACCAACGGAGTCACCAGTTCAGTTTCCCAAACCACTGTCCCCCCATCTTTTATCTCAGCCCCATTTGGAGACAATGGCCTGGAGGCTGGACAGGACCCAGTTCCCAAGGGCTGCAATGTCACCACCTGTTCGAGGAAGGCTCGGCCTCCCCAGGGGCTGAGGCCCAAGGTCAGAGGGAGCTGCCTATGGGGCACTGGACCAAAGAGGATTGGAACCTGGCCCTGGCTTAGTTGAGGATTAGGGGCACGGCCAAGGTGAAGGGTTGGGGCATCTTCCATTCTCCTTGACATGGGGACGCAGGAGGTGGGACTAGCCCCCTTAGCAACATTAGGGTCCGATCCTCTCTTCCCCTGTCCTGAGCTCTGCCCCAGGGAGAGTTGCCAGGTGGGCATTTGGGACAGGGGGCATATGAGCTCAGTGCCTGGAACCAGACAGCTCTGAGTTTGAGTCCTGGCTGGGAGACCCCTCCCTTCTGCTAAGCGCCATTACCTGGACCAGCCGACGAGGGGGGGTGCAGCACAGGCCAGTGCCATGACCCAGGTGAAGGCAACGCCCATAATGGCGTGGTTCTCCCCGAAGCGGAAGTTGCTCATGGGCTTACACACCACCACGTACCGCTCAATGGCCAGGACCACTAAGGACCACAGTGCAATTTCACCTGCAAGGCAATCAGCTGCCGGTCAACACACCACCTGCCTGGAACCCACTCTCATCTAAGGAGGGAGCACTCCTCCTAGATGGGGAGAGGGCAACTGAGAAGGCAGCCTGGGGCAGGCCTGGAGCGAGGCCTTAGGGTGAAAGGGCCTTGGACACTGAGAAGAGGAGGGTCGGGTGTGCAGGGCAAAGGGACCAGTATGCCAAGGGGGAGTGAGCAGAGTGAATCCTAGGAAGTTTAGTTCAGTCAGAGCTCCGGGTTCAGGAGGGCCATGGAAATCAGATGACAGGGTCTTGATTGCACTGGGAGCCCTGTAGGGAGTTTTCTCAGAAGAATGTGTCCTCCGCGGGGCACGGGGCAGAGTTCCTGTTGAAGGGCATTGCAGAGGCAGCTGAAAGCCGGCGCTGGAAGTCCTTCCCTCCCTCTGGAGCAGCAGCCTCTCCCCTCTAGGGAAATGAAACAACCTGGGCATGTGGGACCCTCTCCCAGAGCCAGGAAGCTGGATCATGTTCTGCTCAAAGGAAGAAGGAGGAAATAATGATGGAATTCAGACATCTGTCCTGCATATCGCCCCAGAATCTCAAGAGGGAGGGTGGTGGCCATAGAATTTATCAGCCAAACTGGGACATTTCTGAGAGTGAAAGCGAACACTACAGAGAGCTATTCCAGGATTATAGCTGTAGACCGGGACCGCCGCTGCAGAGGGCTCTGCCTGTATGAGGCACCCCTCTCTGATCCCTGCCTTCGGGCCTGAGACTGGGTGACCTGTGGTCATTGAGGTGACAAACACCCCATGATGGCCAAGATTCCCTGTGAATGGGACTGAGGAAGCATCCTGGACATGTGAGGAGAGAGAAGACAGGGAGGAGAGCAGTGCTCGTGCCTGGTGCTGGGTCTCCCCGTCTCCCTGCTTTGTAATCACCACCTCTTGCATCTCCTGCTTGCCTGAGAGGCTGTGTGTCTGGGGAGAACATTCCTGGATCTGAGCCGGGAGATCTAAGCTCTGGTCACTGCCCTGCCACATCCCTAAATGAGTCTCTTGCTTCTCCATGCCTCAGTTTTCTCATCTGCTAAATGGGATCTGTTATCTCTGAAGCAGCCCCATTAGTTTTCCAATCAAAGAAAATACTTGAAAGCATCTTTCAAAGTTACAGACCACCACACAGGTCTAGTGCCTCCCTTTGGAAGGGCTTTCTTAGAAGGGGATGAGCTCCTCAACACAAAAAGCATTCAAGCATGGCAGAAAAGCTGGAGGTGGGCTGGGAAGGGAGTCAGATAGATGCTGGGGGGAGGGACTGAGCCCATCACCTGGCAGCACAGGCAAAGTCCAGTGACTGAAGGACTGAGGATCTGTGACCCACCCCAGCCTGGGAGCTCTGCGCGCAGGGATCTGTCTTGTCCACCTTCATCCCCAGTGCCCAGTGTGGGTCTGATCCAGCTCAGCTGCTCCCAGGGAAACAGAATATGGCCTTAGGGGCCACAGAGATGTGGGCTGGAAACTCGGATCTGCCCCCCGCCACGATGCGACCCCGACAAGATCCTTGACTTCTCTCAACCTGCTTCCCTGCTGGAAAGCAGGACAATGGCACCCCTCCGAGTGAGATAAACAGTATCCAGTGCCTGCCCTCAACAAACGCAGCCAAGCTTATCGTCACCAAGGGTGTTCATTGATTAAGTGAGGGCTTTGGATGTTGCAGAGCGGAGAATGTCTCTCAGCCGCCAGCCCAAGCTTAGGGTTGTCCCCAGATGCCTCCACGCCCCCAGCTCCTGTGCCCCCGCCCACCCACATCCCAGCTCATACCGCCCAGAGTGGCAAAGAAGCCCTCCACATTGCATCCCGTGGGCCCGAAGACGAAGTATCCGTGCAGAGAAGTGTAGAGGGTGGTGGTGAAGCCGCCGAAGACCATGAAGAGGTCGGCCACAGCCAGGTTGAGCAGGATGTAGTTGAGAGGCGTGCGCAGCTTTTTGTGCTGGACCGTGACGTAGAGAGTGAGGAAGTTGATGGGGAAACCGAGCACAATCAGCAGGAACATGTAGGCGGCCAGCATGGAGAACTGCCACGGCTCGGCCAGGTAGTACTGCGGGTACTCGAAGGGGCTGCGCACCACGCCCGTCTTGTTGGAGAAGGGCACGTAGAAGTTCGGGCCCTCCGTCCCGTTCATGGCTGCGGCCCTTGTGGCTGCCCCGTGGGCGTCTCCGACCCAAGAATACTGCTGAGGCCTGAGCTCGGCCACCCAGGGCTCAGGCTGGACGACTCCAGGCTCTGACCCCCCCCAGGGCCTTATAAAGTGACCTCCCCTCCCTAAGCTCCTGGCTGAATCAGCACCTGGGAGATTGGGGGCGTTATTAATCATATTAATCACCGCTGCTGTAACTGGGGCCTAATTGGCTTCCGTGAGGGGCCAAGGTCACTCTAGGTAGAAGCCTAGGGTCAGGGAGGGGAGGCGTTGGGGACCCTGGGAAAGGGCAGGAGGCCGGCCCCCAACTCTTCTGTCCTCCAGGAATCTCTGCCCACCTCAGCCTGGTGGTCTTGGCCTGGCATCACGACCTCTGACTCCAGGCCCACTTTCCTCCGGCTTAGTACGAGCTGACATCTTCCTCTTGACAGGACCAGGAGCTTCCGGAGGGCAGAGGCTCTCCTCCCCTCACTCAGCCCCTTACCTATTCCTTCCCCACCTCAGTCTCCTCCTGGCTCATCCAGTCACTGGACACTGACACTAGCCCATCTCGCCAGATTATGAGCTTCACATAAGGGCAGGGGCCGTATGCTGCCAACTTTGGCATTCCCTGTGCGAGACACACAGCCTGGCATAGCTCAGGAGCTCAATTAGCACTTGGTGCATTGAATTGGAAGTCACCGGTTCATCAAACATTTATGTGCAGGCCCCTGGGGACACAAAGATCAAGAAAGGAGGAGCTTAGGCTGAGGAGGACTCTGATGTGAGAAGGACAGATCCTGGGCCTGGGAGGGGAGGCTGCCTGCCTGGGGGAGGTGTCAGGGTCTGGGTCTCTGAGGGACGGGAGCACTTTGCCAGGTTGCCAAGTGGGGAAGACGGCACAGACTGAAGACAGAGGCTGGGCAGAGGCCTGAGGCCCATCTGTGGTGTGGCCACGCATGGGTTGGGGCCAGCTCTGATGGGTCTTGATGCCAAGCTGAGGAACCCGGCTTCATCCAGAGGGCAGTGGGCAGTAGGCAGTGCCTCAGGCAGATCTTGGGGACAGAAAGGTGGCTCAGATGCCACCAAAGATGGATGGAGGAGGGGCCCAGGGAGAGGGTGACTAAAGCAGGGACAGGACAGAGGCTCTCAGGGCTCGAAAGCATGGCTCTGCAGCCAGGAGGCAGACTGCGTGCCAAGCTCCGTGCTGTGCGCTGGCTCACTGCAGTGAGCAAGGTGGGTGTGGCCCCAGCCTCCTGGGGAGTCAGTGTAAGGGGAGGTGGACCCTGGAAACAGGACTGTTGGACACTGCTGCACACGGGGTATGTCTGGGGACATCTGGTCAGGCTGGGGTGGAACAGGGGACCTTGGATGCTCTGTGACAGGTAACCCCATGAGGGCCAGTCCTGGGACAGCAGGATGAGCTCTGGGGGCAAAAAGAGGCTTGACACTGACAGGCTCCCCCAACCTGTAACAGGAGCATGATGATACCTCCCAGAATGAAGTGGGGTAGCTGGGTGTGCCTGGCATGATGACCACAATCTAGCCACAAATGTGTATCGAGCAGGTTCCAAACAAAGTGCTTGGTTCTAGGGCACACAGTGGACAAGAAGGATCAAGCCCTGCTGGCAGGAAGTGTCATTCTGTGGGGGCAGGAGGCCCCACAAACAGGTAATGAAACAAATAACAATAAGAAAAATTCAGATCGTGACCTGCTCCCAATACTCTGTTATCTAGAGCAGCCTGGGAAGGCTTCTCTGAGAAGGTGAAGTTTGAACTGGGAACTCAGTGATGGAAGAGGGCAGCCCTGGAGGATCTAGGGAGTGGAGATGTCCAGGCAGAGAAAACAGCAAGTGCAAAGGCCCTGAAGCTGGGGATTCAAGGCTGGCCAGGGAAGTGTCCCTGTCCACAAGACTTCTATCCCTTAAGCTCTCTCTCACCCAGTCTCTCTTCCCCTGAGATTCCTGGGTCTATCTGCTTCAGAAAGATGCCTCCCTTCCCTCCAGCGCACCTGGGGACCAGACCCCTCCGTCCTGGGTGCTGTCAGGGTTTGGCACATGGAAGGCTGACGAAATGTTTGTTGGTGGAATGAGTGCAGGGGGTGGCCTGGCAAGGCTAGTGGGGTGCGACCTCTTGCAGTTTAAGGCGCTTGGCCCAGTGATTAGGCCTAGTGCTAATGAGGTCAAGGTGGAGGGTTTGATTCTGCCGTGGCCCCTGGTAGCCAGACAGACGGGGGAGCACTGGATTCCCTAAGTCCAGAGTGGCCAACACACAGCTCCACCCTGGCTGAGCCCTGGATCTCAGCACTTTGCCTGTCACCTCCTAATGCTTATGACAGCCTGGAAGCTTCGTATTCATGTTCTGTTCACATGGTTTTTGTCCATCTCCCAGGCTGTAACATGACACTACAAGGGTGGGCTAGGTCTGTCTTGTTCACACAGGGTCCCCAGAGCCCGGCATGGAGTCTGGCATGTGGCAGGAGTGTTGTAAATAGTTTCCCCTGGGGAAGAAGAGCTGGGATTTCTGTCAGTTTGTTCACTGATGCACTCCCAGGGCCTGGCACATAGTAGGTGCTCAATAAATATCTGTGGACTGAGTTACCGGATCTAGGTTATCTCAGTAAGTACTTCCCCTCTCTAAGTCTCAGGTTCCTCCTCTGTAAGAGTTTAATAATCCCACCCTCACAGGATGAGGTGATGGGGAATTAAAGGCCATCACCGAAGTGACCGTGCTCTGTATTCTGTAAGGCATGACAAATAGTTTTCTTTTAAATGAAAAGTGCTCTGTGTTCAGAGCAACAAGCTCATGAAGGGAGCTGGAAGGTCATTAGAAGTCACCTACTCTGACCCTCCCCTGCTGCATTTTGCAAGTGGGAAGATTGAGGCCCAGAGTTCGCAGTGAGCTGCCCAGGTCACGTGACAAACCAGTGACAGCTGGGCTATACCTGCCTGGCCACGCCTCCCTCCCACACCAAAGACAGCTCTCAGGAAGGATTGCCAGTTACTGGCGCCATGTAAAAATAAATGACGGAAAAAGGGTTGTGCTGGGGTCGTGGAAAAGGCCCTCACTGAGTCACACAGGCCTGGGGCAGCAGTGGTGGCCCTGAGGGCAGGGGGTAGCACTGGGCTCTAGCCTGTGGCTCTGAGTCACCCTAAGAGCCCAGGAAGGCCCACCTCCCCTCTCCAGGCTTGTTTGCCGGGACTAGGAAACTTTGGGGATCCACACCCATCTATAGGGTAAACCTGACCTGCTTTCCCCACCCGGTCCCAGCTCACTGACCTTGAGACCTTACAATTTTGGTTTCCTAGTCCTCCCTTGTGGGCACGGCCTCTTCATACTGACCCTTACATCTGGCCTGAGGCTCTGCAGCCACACAGCCTAGGTGCAGCCTGCTCTCTTCTCATGCCTGTTTCCTGCTCTGTTCCCAGTAAGTGATCAGTGAGTGTGGCTGAAAGTGTTATCCTCTTCTGAATCTCATTCAGGTCTCAGCAAGTGACCCATGTCCTTGGAGAGACCCCATCCCCCACTTCTACAGACCAGGGCCTCCACCCCACTGCATTCATTTTCTACTGCATACTTAGCGCTGTCTGCAACGGTCTTGTCTCCTTAGAGACTGCCTGCCCATCTCTCTAGAGAATGCGTCCCAGCTCCCAGCCCAGGATAGATGCTCAGCACATGTTTGTTGAATGAATGAACAACTCCTCCTAACCCCTGTGAGGAGGTCTCTCTGAGTGGTCAGGTCTCCTCTGATCACTGAGGAAATGGGCTCAGAGGATTGAGGTTCCTCAGCAGAGCCAGGCTTGAACCTAGGCCATTGAACCTGGGCTGTCTAATCCCCCAGCAATTTTGTCTCCCATGTCAGGTGGTCCAGAGAGGGGCACAGAGCAGGCCAATGGCCAAGCCCAAGTGTGGGTGACTTTCTGAGCAACTGCCCCTCGGCCTCCCTCTCAGCCAGGCTGAGAGGCTGTGAGGGGCTGTGAGGGGCTGTAAGGGGTGGGACAGGGGCCCAAGGTTGGCTGTCTCTGAGGACAGACCAGCCATCTTGGGCTTCCGCAGCACAGCCCTCTGGGAGCCCAGGCGCAGGGCTCCGACTCAGCCAGGGAGGATTAGGGCTTAGTGGGCAGCGCGCGAATAGCTCCTAAGCCTCTGCATGGAGGTGCTGCTTGGTCAGCATCCTCTTCTTCCTCCTCCTCCCCTCTCTGGCTTAGCCTCACCTGGCTGCGTCACCACGGCTGAGGGAGGCCTCAGACTGAGCTGAAAATGTCGAGGGGGAAGACAGCCTGACTCTCCTCCCCTTCCTTCCATCACCCCCCTCCCGCCCTTCCTCCCTCCCTCTTTTCTTCCTACCCCAACATTTGCCAAACACCTCCCATGCACCAGGCCCTGGGCTGGGTGCTGGGGACACTGAGATGAAGCCTACACAGTGTCTGCCCTCAAAGAGCTCCCGATCTTAGGGGGCAGCAGCCATGGGAAAAACTAATAACCAGGAGAGGCGGGGATTTGCTCCCAGCCCCAGTGCTGTGGGAGCCCAGAGGACCAAGTGGTGGACCAGGAAGGAGCCTGGGAGGCTCCTCAATCTAGGCAGGGGGCTTGCTGGGTCAAGGCCAGGGAGGGAAGGGCCAGCTCGCGTGGAAGCACTGGGGCCCTGGGAGCAGATGGCAGGGAAGGGAGGGCAGGTCTGAGTTCAGGTGCTAGCTGGCTGGCAGTGGGGGCCACTGAGGGTTACAGGCATGACCAAGTTCCCATTCCAGGACGATGTTCTGGAGTCTGGGTGGAAGAGTATCAGGGAGTACTGGGGTAAGTGCCTCGCCCAGGGTGAGAGCCTGCCCAGTGGTAGCCTCTTTGCCGGGGGTCCTACCTGTCCCCAGGGCAGGGCTGCCACAAGTGGAAGGTCAGGGGTATCTGCCATAGCAGCAAGCTTGGAGAAGGGGCATCTGCCCAGCAGATGGAGGGCCATGAGGAGCTCCTGGCTTTGCTGGCCTCACTGAGGTACATGGGGACACCCAGATGGCTGAGGCCAGGCTAGAGCCAGGCCCCCCTAAGGTCTGGCCCAGGGCTCTCTCTGGGCCACTCAATCCCCCGTTTCCTTACTTCCTCCTTCCAAGAACAGGGGAACAGTGTTGAGGACTTGGAGATTGGAGGTCAGGATCAGGCTGCAGCCTGAACCACTTGCAAGCTGTGCAGCTGCTCCTCTTTCCGGACGTCAGTCTCCTCTTAGTGAAATGGGCATCTCAAGATCCCTGTGGCGCCTTCCTCGTTGTAGCATGTGAGGGGTCACCAGGATCATCAGAAGGAAACTGAGGCATGAACCTAAGTGTCAGAGCTGGAGGAGGCCCTACTGTACAGATGGGGAAACTGAGCCCTGGAGAGAGGACTGGACCTGGTCAACACCCTGTCCTAGTCGGGACAGGAGAGCAGCAGAACGTAGTGCTTACGTGCAAAGGATGTGCCTGGGTGTGAATCCTGTCTTGGTTCAATAAATATTCATTGAATGAAAGAAAAGAGAACGTCACTGAGCATCAGTTTCATCATCTGCATAATGGACATCCTTGGAGGCTGCTGAGGACTCAATAACTCAATAAGATGATGTGTAGAAAGTGCTTAGCACGCTGTCTGGAACTCAGTAAGTACTTGATTTATTGGGAGCTACGGTGTTCGTCTCTCAGACTCAGGGCTCCAGTGTAGCTTCCCTGTGGCAGCAGAACCTGGCACAGCACAGCCTCATTTTGTGTTATTTGGCTGAGAGGACGCGAGCTGGAGTTTCAGGCTGGGCCCCTCCCCCTGCTTCTAGCCATGGACCATCTGATCTGTCACTGTGATTGACGTCTGTTGGGTGGCTGGGGCTGTTTTCTCCCTCTCCCCTCTTTTTCCCAGCCATATGCAAATGATTTCAGTTCAAGTAACGCGCTAATGGAAATCCTAACACATTAATAAATGTTTAGCGCGAGAGAGTATGCGTGATCGTAAGTAATCAGACACTCCACGGAGGAGTTCTGTTGGCACAACTGTCTGGCTCCCTTTCTTTACTTTCCTCCATCATCTCCAAAGAGAGATGCAGAGGGAGGCAGGGAGGAGGGGGTGGGGCAGGGGTCCAGCCCCGGCACTCACCGCTGGGTGGCCTCTGCAGCCACTCCCCTCTGGGGCCTGTCGTCTTCTCTCCAATGGGTACATTTGCCTTGCTCTGCCCACTTCACAGATGCCCTGTAAAGTACCAATGTCTAATCAGGAGGGTGGTTTTCAACAAGTGCCCTTCCTCCTGCCATCAGGGTTCCGCATAAAGTGCCGGATGGCATGCTACCTCCTGGGCAAGCAGAGTGGAGGGCGAAGGGAGCAGGCCGCAGGGACGGACGGATCAGGGGCTTCTCATGCAGGGTTGGTGAGCTCCCTGGACTCCAGCACCTCCGGCTGCCCCCATGGCTGTGGAATGGAAATCATAACCCTTCCAACACAGGGCTGGTGTGAGAACTGAGACAACACATGAAATGCGGCTGGCAGAGAAAAGGCCCCCAATAAATGTCAGCTCTCCCTCCCCACCTTCCCATCTGCCACCCATCCAGGCCCTCGAGCTGCTGAATCGGACACTGCTGATGCTCAGGGGAAAGCCTCAGGTGGGCTGGGGCCTCTGTGGGGCTGGGGGATGGTGGAGGAGGTTGGGCTCTCCTCGCCACCTTCTTTGGAGCCAGGTATCTTATTTTCTTATCTAGAAAAAGCCCCGTTAAACCAAAATAAATAAATACACACCCATCCCCTTACCCATTCCCATATTGCCATTTAGATTAGATTAAATTTTAAGAGCACACAAATGTAATGTTCTTCTCGGGTCAAATTAGAAACAGGTGCACTTTTGCATAAGGAAATTAAGTTGCAGACAATATGAAGATTTGCTAAAATGCAGACACTGATGAAAATAAGTAGCCCTTTTATTTGTAATTATTGAGGCAATCTGTTCGCAAAGTGTACATGTTAATGGTCTGACAGATCTGTGGACTCCAGCAGGCTGCCATGAACAACTCAGAGCCGTTCTGAAAATAACAGATTTTTTTTTCTTAGAAAATATATGTACATTCTCTTCTCCATCTCCTGGTGCTATTTACAAGGCACAAAATGCCATAAATAAGAATTCTGTGGTTACACAAGGCCCCTCCCTAAAAGACAAACTTCATCTGGGCAGAAGAAACATTCTGACAGTGTAACTCCTTTCAGTGGCCCAGCCAACTGCCAGGCATGCCCAGGCGAGCAGGGGGTCCCAAGGTCCTGGTCACGGGCTGGGGTCATCGATGCGCCTCCGGCAGTAGGGGCAGCAGGTGTGCTGAAGCACCAGCAGCTCGTAGTCCTCTGAGTGGAACATCTGAAGAGAGATGGCCGTGGCCCTCATCAGCCCCAAGCCTGGCAGGGACGGCTGCCCTTCCAAGGGGAGGGGGTTTGGCAGTGACTCAGGGCTCACAAACACCAGACCAGGACACCTGTGTCCAAGGACTGGGAGGGAGAGGGAGATGGGTGTGAGGTCTCTATTTTTCTAAATGAAGCTCAAAGTTCAAAACTCTTGCCCGGCCCTCCTGGATTAAGGGGAGGTACAGAGAGCACCAGGTCAGGGGCAAGTCCTTCCAGATGGCACATGGAAGGCAAGTGAGAGGAGGGAGGGCCTAAGGACAGCCAAGTGTCTTCTCCCAACTCAGAGCCTTGGCCATGGAGGAATCAACTGTGTAGCTCCCAGATGCCTGGCCTCCTCGAGGGGACACTCGGGAAATGGAAAAGCAGCAGAAAGACACTGGGAACTATGCAGGAGCTGTAGGCAGTGGGCGCAGTACCTGGAAGCAGGAGGGGCACATGGTGATGGAGGCATCAGGGAGGAGTGAGCGGAAGTACTGCCACTGCAGGGGTGGGGGCCAGCGTTTGATGAGGACGTCCCGACGGCTCATGGCACGCAGCACTGACCGGCTCACCACCACGGGAACAAACTCTGAGCCACCTTGCTGCAGATGGGGCGAGCCGGAAGCAGGGGCACCAGTGACCTCACTCAGGCACGGTGGCACGTTTATGTGGGTCATGATCCCAGAACTTTTGGCAGTGGCTAGGGAGGCCCCCAGACTTCCCCTGCCAGGTACCTGGACAGAACCCTGCCAGGTCACGCAGTGCCTGCTGGCCATCTCTGGTGACAGGGAACCCACCACCTCCTCTCCCCCAGTGGCCTTGACAGGGAACAAGTTCCTCCTCACGCCAAGGAGTGTGTACAGAAGGGACCTGAGAATGCCCTCCCAACAGGCTTCTGTGCCTCAGCAGCCCACCACTCAAAGAGGCGCCCTCACCTCAAAGCTCAGTTTTGCTGTGAACGGGTCGTCATCTCCCATGGAGTCCATGGTCTCATCCAGCCTCAGGGTCTGGGAATCTGGAGGCGTCTGGTCAAGGTTGGAACCTGAGGCCCAGCAGGAAACAGGTCCCACCCTCCACCCAACATGCTAAGACTAACAGGAGCTCTGTCTAGGCCTCGTTGTGTCTCTCTACAGTTCTGGGGTAGAGCGGCAAGGTCTGTGGAACAGGTTTCTCTCCAGGTGCAGGAGTAGAGGGAATGCAGGCTAGGGAGGAGACGGCCCTGGTCACACAGAAGGTGGGACCAGGCCCCAGTGTACAGGTGAGAAAAGGGGATAGAAAGGGGCTCTCATGGGCCCTCTGATGCCCCACACAGACCACGCCATGGCTGATATGGGTCTGCCGTCCAGAAGCACCACATGAGCAGAGGCCTGTGGGCCTGTGGTATGAGAGAGTAGAAATGATGGGCCCAGCTGGAAACCAGGGCCAGCAAACCCAGGGATTCCCGGAGAGACACTCAGCAGTCACCAGGTGGTCTGTAGGCCTCTGCTCACTTGAGATGGCCTTGCTGGTCATATTTCATGGAGAAGGAGTGAGAGATCTGCAGATCCTGAGGCCAGCCAGACTCGGCTGAAGGTCTCCAGGGAGCCACTCCCTCTGCCAGGCAGTGGTGGAGGAACTGATGTGACACCAGGGTGGGTGGGGCCTCCTGAGGAAGGCCCCCAGGGGAACAGAGGCTGCTGGTGCCACGTCAGGTATGGGACATGGCCCCACATGGCAGCAACAACAACCCAGCCTAAGTATCTGATGTGTGTGTGCAGAGGACTGCCGTGCAGACACAGCTTCCGTCTCCCTTTTTCAGCAAACAATCCCCTGGGTTTTCCCCTCTCTTCTGCTCCTCAAAATGTGGTCCACAGACCAGTGACATTGGCATCACCTAGAAGCTTATGGAAACGCAGGCTCCCAGCCCACACAGACCTGCTGGCCCTCGGGTGATGGGTGTGCACTGTCCTCCTGCATTCAGCTGGGACAGTTAATGTGGTCCTGGCCACAGGGATAAGCTGAGGTGTGGCCCTCGGCCCAAGTTGTTCCAGCGAGGGTGTGACATGCTGGGGGGAGAGTCAGCCCTTTCCGAGGGGTTGTAAGGCTGATGGGATGCAGGGTTGGCACTGATGGTGGGGATGGGGCAGTGCTGCCTAAAAATGAAGCCACCCAGAGGACAGCAGAGCCAAGAGGACAGAAGACAGCCTCCCGCTGGTGTCGAGTGGGCACCTGGATCCAGCTAAGTATCCATCCATGGCTAGGTGCACCTTTTTGTTTGCTTGGCCTGAGTTGATTTCTGTCCCTTGTATGTAAGTGACCTGACTAGAAGAGTTGGGGCCACTGATACAGACATCATATGCCATGTTGGCTGCCCATCAGCTCTGCGTGGCCAGCAGCAAGGGCAGCACTCTTTAGGAGCAAGGGGTGGGTGGGAGACCCTCCCTGGAATGAACAGCAGGTAAGGGCCAAGGCACTGTCTCCTTTTCCACATGCCACTTCTGGGCCTGTGGGCACTGTCTCCTCCTGCATCCCTGCACCCCAGCCAGCTCTCTGCCCATTTCTAGGCCCTGTCCCTGTGGCCTCATCGGCCTCTATGATCACTGAGCAGTGGTCTGCCGTGCCCCTGCCCACCTAGCCCAGCCATCTTCCAAGGCCCTCCTGCCTCCTGCATCGCACCAGGTGCAGTGCTTGGCTGGCACACACAAGGGTCCAGGCCCAGCGCCCAGGATACTGTTGCTCGTGATCTCCTGCCATTTGTTCTCACACTTGTGTCTTGGTGCCTCCAGGTCGATGAGGGAGACGGCTTCTTCGTCAGTGATCCCCTCCTCCAGGTAGAACTCCACCAGGTGCAGCACCTCTGGAGGGCACAGGGCACGGAGAGGGGCTGGGGGCGGCCTCGGGGGAGCTGGGGCTGGGACGCTCTTAGCAGGCAGCATGAGGGGAGGAGGGAAGATCGCAGAGGCCTTTCCCTACGTGGCAGTGGCTCCTCTGAAAGCAAGCAGGGTGCGGGGCTGCCTCTCTCGCCCACTGCATGTCTGGGGGAGGCGGGTGTGTGTGCATGTGTGCACGTGTGTGTGCACAAGTGAGAACTAGGGGCCTTTAGCCCTCCTTCCCCCTAACAGCTGGATGGGCTCCTCTCCAAGGGAAGAGGAGAGGCCTCTGCCCAGGTATGTGAAGGAGCTTCTGATCCTTTGTCAACAGGGAAGGAGCTGGGACTCGAGAGCCCAGCTCAGCCTCCCAGACTGAATGTCCAACCAGTGACCTCTATTCCTGGAGCATTTATTTTATACAAAGCTTCATACCAGGTTCTCGGGAGTGGGTGCTTCAGGGTTGGGCAGCACTGGGTCCTGTCTCTGGGAACCCTGAGTGACTCTGTATGTCAGGCAGGGTGGGTGTCGCACTGTCCTCAAGTTACAAATGAGGACTTCTGTGGGCAATAAGCAGTGGCATGAGCCCAGCCATCGGCACACATGGGACTCACCGTAGGAAGAGGCAGAGAAGACGAAGGGCTGGCGGCAATTGATGCAAACGTTGCCCAGGTTGTTTAGCAATGGGTTGTTGGTGGAACAGCGGTAGCACAAGGGCACTAGCTCCTACAAAGACACAAGCACCACAGTGCCCAAGAGCCAGACCTCACACACAGCTCACGCCACACGGGTGGGCAGGGAGGGGGCCTGGGGCCTGGGCTCCATACTGTGGTGAAGCAGGATAAGGGCCTACAGACAGCAGAGGCCCTAACTCTTGGGGTCCACTGCCCCGGACACCTTCTTCACAGGAGGGCTCAGCAGTACCATTCTCCTGGCAAAAATGACAATAACCACAGCCACTCTTTATCAGCTACTTACCAATGTGCTTAAGCTCATTACTTGCACTGGCTCATTTATCCTCACAGCCACCTGTGGGAAAGCTATCATGCATGTCTCTGTTTGATAGAGAGGGAAACGGAGGCTCAGAAAGATTGAGGCACAGCTAGGAAATGGTGGAGCTGGGATGTGAATCCAGGTCTGTCTGATGCCAAGTCTCTGCTCTGAGCTTGAAGGTGGGGATTGTGAAAGAGGCAGTAGCTGGTTAGCTTGGATGAAAGAGGGCTGGGGCTCAGAGCAGCCTGCAGATATACATGGGTGAATGGATTTGCTGGAGAGGATAACCTGGTTCCAGAAGGAGGGTGGGCTGGGGCAGGGGCTCCTAGGATGAGGTGAAGGCAGAGTCACTGGGCATGGTGGCGTGAAGCAGTGTGGGCTAGGCCACAGTAGACACGGAGCCTCAGGAGAGCCAGGAAGCAAAGGAGGGCAGGGCTGTGTGGCTCAGGGGGCCAGGAGCTGCTGGTAGAGCACAGCAGGCTGAGTGGAGAACAGAGGAGGTAGAGAGGGAAGAGCGGAAGGAGTTGGCAAACCAGGGCTCAAGTAGGGGAGAAGGGCGCAGAACCCTGAGAGCATGGCAGCTGTCTTTCAAACAGAACCCAGGCAGGGCAAGAAGGGGCCAGGAGACATCTGAGAGGAGGAGCAGCGTCCTGCCCAAGGGGCCAGGCCCTCACCTCGCTGTCATGGAAGGGCTTGGAACGGATGGTCAGGCTGCCTAGCTCGATGGACTTCTGGAACCTGGTGGGGATCCGCAGGCCCTGCAGCTTGTTGTAGGCATGCCGGGCTAGCTTGTAGGCGCCTAGCGCCTTGCTTTGCTTGGCTAGAGTGAAGAGTGTCTTCCTGCCGATGACAGGGTTAAGGACAACAGAGGCCACGCCAGGCCCGACAGCCAGCACTACCTACCCTCAAAGTGAGCCCCATTCTGGAATGTAGCTTGTGCTGGTGCCAGCACGGCCCGGGCAGAAGCCTGAGGAGTGCTTTGCTCATTTGTGGGATGTAAGTGTATTTCTCGGATATCAAAGCCCAAGGATTTTTCCAGAGATAAAGACAGTGCAGTTTCCATTAATATTTTAACCTTGCTTAGGTTCTCTGGGCCTGCTGATGGCTCATCTTGTACCCTGATGATGCCAAAATGGCTCTCCTCACCTCCAACAGCCTGCCAGCCAGGCCCTAGGACACCTGGCACCAAGTGCCCTCCTGCTCCAGCCCCACCAGGTGGAGCCCAGTCCAAGACTGGCCGGGGAGCCACCCTCAGGTCCGGCTCACAGGGGCCTCTGGGTGCAGAGCACTGCTCTGCCTGCACTTCACCAAGGGTCCCGGTGATGTCTGAGCAGCAGCCCCCCCTCTTCTGAGGCCCCTTCTGGGCTGCTCAAGCTGAGGGTGACAAGCCTTTGTGCTCTATCTCAGGTCACCTCAAACGCTGGCTGTGCCCAGGCCCAGCCTGCCCTTCCCCACTCCTCCGTGGCAAGCCTTAGCCCACCCTTAAGAGTTCCGAGTCCCATGCCTGCTGCCCACGCTCCCTCCCTGAGGCTCCTGCTCGCCACACCCCCAGTGTGGCACCTTCCACTCCAGCACTTATATGGGGTGAGTTTCCTTGTCTGTGTCTCCACCGCACCTCTTCAAAGTCAGGTCTGTGTCAGGAGCCATTTCCAGGTCCCCAGTGGACAGCAAGGGATGAAGCTCAGGGCAGGGGTTCAAACTCTGCTGACCTGAAAAGAACTTGCTGGCAAGGCTGGGTGCAGGAGCTGAGGCCCCACACTAAGGCTACAGCCCCTCCTCTGCAGGGGTCTCAGTCAGTGAAGGCACCACTTAATTTGGGGGAATTTCCCCTGAAATGTAATTGATGGGCCTGGAACCCTTTAGAGAAGCCAATTCTCACCAATTAGCATCTCTGAGTCCTCCTCTGGGAGGGCTTTTCCTTACACAAAGAAGGCAGGGCTGGGCTGGGAAGGGGCTGAGAAAACAGTGATTTAGAAGAGGACAGAGGATAATTATGACTTTTATGACTTCCGGGACCTTAACAATTTTGGTCATTTCCTGGTAGATTCTGGCCGCACAGGGCCTCAGGCCCTTTCTCTGTTTACGGTAACCTGTGGCCCTCACTGGCCAGAGAAAGAGAGGCCAATTCACAGGGAGGCCCTCAGGCTGCTGCCTCTCCAGCCTGGCTCCCACCCAGGGCGGGCTTCAGCTCCTTCCACACACCATGTTCACTTAGCCTTTCCAGGCACTGGTGCTCCCCTGAAACATCTACTGTATCATCTTCTCTGGTTACCTCAGCCTACAGGATGGATGTCACCTCCTCCTGGCAGTCTTCCTTGACCAGGGCCCCAGCCTGAGCTGCATTCCACCCTTGGACACAGCATACAGCCCACTGAACCAGACCCTGACACTTGTCATCTCCCTCACTAGACAGCAGCTTTGTAGCCTCCCTGCCAGGGGCACAGCAGGTGCTCCACCGACCTGGGCTGAAACCGTCCCCCCCACCAACAAGGGAAGTGCCCAAGACTCCAAGCCCAAAGGCCTGGTGCTTCCTACATTTCTGTCCCTCCCTCATTTGTTGGCTCTGGAGGGCTTAGACGGTATGTTGGCCGGAGACCCACTGCTTGGCCCAGCCCAGAGAGCCCTGAAAACTAATCTTCTCTTGGCACTAGCCCCTCAGTCTCCCTGGCTGAGCCTCTTCTACGGCCAAACGGCAGCGGCCGGGCAAGCTCGCTTTCTTCCCTGAGGGCTACTGTAGAGAGGGAAGGTTCTGCCAACAAAGCACCCTGGAAAGAACCTCCGAGGGCCATTAGACAAGAGGGGTGGGATGGAGGGTGGGGGGAGAGAAAGGATACACTTTAGAGATGCCCAAGGGGGTGTCCTTGGTCAGGCTGTGCAGCAGGAACCTGGAGATGTTGAAGAGGGTTTCGGGAAGGTGGAAACTGAAAGGCTCCTCCTGCAGCGAGAAAAGCAAACAGGGACTGAATTCCTCAACTGAGCCGCTGCTGGGCCAGGCCAAAGGCAGACACCAATAATTCTGAGTTACTTCAATAAAAGGGCAGGTGTGCTCAACGAGCACCCACTGTGTGCTGGGCACATTAGCCACCGTGGTCTTTAACACAAGTCTGTGAGGATGCATTTTCATCCTCACTGTGCTGAGGCCCAGAGAGACGATTTGCCCAGGTCACTCCACTACAAAGGAGCAGAGCCAGGATCCAAACCTAGGTCTGATTCCAAAGCCCAAGAATGTCTTTCTCTCCAGATGCACTGCCTCTGGGGTCGGTAATGATCCCTTCTTCTGAGTTGTCTCCAATTAGCTCTAAAAGAGAGGATACGACGCCGACACGAGCATGTCTTTAAGCAGAGTCAGCCCACTCTTCCCGGCATGAAATCACACGCCTCTTCTCGCTCCCCAACAGCAGCCTGACAGTTCAATGCCCACCAAATGTGCAGGCATGGTGCAGCCCCTCAGCTGCTCCTCCCTGTGTCCCCGGGCCCTGTACAGGCCCTAACAGACGAGGCACTCAACGCACATTAGGTCAATGAATAGGTCTTCTGTACCTAGAGGCTGCCAGAAGCTCAGCACAGAGGACTACAGGGAATTGCCATCAGGAGGGGTCCATAAAAGGTTAAGAATACCCTGTTTTGAAGGAATCTGGCACATGGTGTGAAAACTGAGTCTGCTTTAGACAACGATGAAAGCAGGCCAGCTACCCCTCTGCCTTGAGCGCTTAAATGCTAATAAACTGACATTTCCTGAAGGGTCTTGCTAGGCCAGACTCATCACTGAGCCCCCAGGACTTAGGCCCTAATTGGTGTAAATTTGTGAGGACTCCCTTTACACTACTTTCCTGGTTCAGAGCGCAGCACCCTCTTTAGTTCTCACTCACATCGCTATAGTCTCTGTTAGTTCCACGAACCCAAGAAGACCTGAGACTAGATCCTTTTCTGGGTGAGAACCAGGGAGAAGCCTGCTTCTGGTTATATTGCACTAGGTTGTGGAAGCCAAGAAATGTCCCAGAAAGAGTAGAGTAGGGGTTCCTCAAGATTAGCACCTCTCCTCCAGGAAAGAAGCCATCATCTCAGGAAAAGCCTGATGCTTCCCTCTCCAGTCTGCCCTGAAGCACAGCTGCTCTTCTAGGTCCTGATGCCAAACCCTAAAATATCTACTGCCAGGCCTTTGCACATGCTGTGACCTCTGCCAGGAATGCCCTTCCTCCTCCTCCTCTTCACCGGCTCCATTCTTCTCATCTCCCTCCTCTTGGCTTAGGGGTCGCCTCCTCCAGGAAGTCTTCTTAGTCCTCTAAGCTTTTCCCTTGAGGGAACTGTATTGCAACTACTTGTAACTAGACTATGAGCTCCTCAGGAGCAGGGACAATGTCCTGTTCACCACTATGTCCCAAGCCTTCAGCACAGGGCCTGTCACACAGTAGGTATTTGTTGAATGAAGGAATGGCCCGATGAAGAAGGCTCAGCTGGAATGAACAGCCAGGGACCCAGCTGGTGTGCAACTGCCACGAGCTCACAGCTACATGTAGCCCTGGGGCAGAGCTCAGCTGTTACAGAGAAGAAATCCCCAAACGCATGCCCCCAGGTTAGGAAAGAGAGGGGAAACAGCTGGACTCTGAAGCGGTTCAGGCAAACCAAGACTGAGCGGGGTCCCTGACGTTCAGGCCTAAGCTGAGTTTGGGATCCTTTTTTGGGGTGGCTTCTTTCCAGGTGAGGGACTGATTGAGATCAGGGGTCCTGAAAAGACTGTAGGGAAAGACGAGGTCCCTTGAGAGCACTGACCCTGGTGTGGGGCACAGATGAGATGCAGGACTGACGGCTGGCCCAGGCAGAGCCTATCAGAGGAGTCTTTCTTGCCAGACTTTCCCCAGAGGCAAAGAATGTGCTGAGAGGTCAGCACAAATGAGGGGGAAAGAGGCGCTCAGGGCAGAAGGCAGGGCCTGGTCAAAGAACTGCGCAGTGCTCAGCCTGCGGGGAGCAGGCCAACGGAAAGCTGCCTGGAAGCTTCCGCACAGGGCAGCAGGAATAGCTGACACTCGTCTAGCGTCACTTTGTGCCAGGCACGCTTCCCAGTGCCTGCCTTTTTTTTTTTTTTTTTGAGGAAGATTAGTGCTGAGCTAACTACTGCCAATCCTCCTCTTTTTGCTGAGGAAAACTAGCCCTGAGCTAACACCCGTGCCCATCTTCCTCTACTTTATATATGGGACGCCTACCACAGCATGGCTCTCACCAAGCGGTGCCAGGTCCGCACCAGGTATCCAAACCAGCGAACCCCAGGCCGCTGAGAAGCAGAACGTGCAAACTCAACCACTGTGCCACCGGGCCAGCCCCCCAGTGCCTTTCTAATATTCACTCATTTAATCCTCACAACCCCATCAAGTAGGTACTGTTACCACCCCCATTTTATAGAGAAGGAAGCTGAAACACAGAGGAAAGTAAACGACTTGCCTAAGGTCACACAGAGGAGCAGGGGTGTGAGGCCAGTGGTCTACCTTCTCTAAGTTAGAGGCGAGTGGGGGCAGAGGCTAAGAGCACAGGCTCTGGAGCCAGCCTGTCTGGGTTCAAGTCCTGGCTCTCCACTTACTAGCTGTGGGATCTCTCCATCCAGCACCTCAGTTTCTTCATCTGTAAAATGGGGATGACAGTACTTATCTCACAGTATGACTGAAAAGATTATAAAATAAAGCCCTCAACACTTTGCCTGGTATGTAGTAAGTGCTCAGTAAAGGTTGGTTATTGATACTATCCTCCTAGCTTATCAGCACAGGATAAGCTCACATTGTAGGTGTTTAATCAATGTTTGTTGAGTGACTGAGGAAACACAAAATGAGGAAGCTGATGACAACCTGTCACCTGTTACCCATTGTCAGAAGGTAGATTTAAAATGGCTTAATCAAAAAAGTTAGGGAGTGACTAAAAAGAACTACTTGGGTCTCTGGGGATCAAGCCAATTCTGTTGTTTTATAGAGAAGGAAATTGAGGGCCAGAGAGAGGAAGTAAGATGCTCAAGGTCACACAGCAAGTCAGTGACAGGGCCAGGGAGGGACCTCAGGCCTTTGGTTAGGGCTGGACCTTCACCCATCTGGAAGAGCGGGCCCCATGGAACGTCTAACTCTGATCACTTTAGAGACAGCTCTTTGGCTAACCCAGAGTCTGCCTGAGTCATCCAAACCGGAAGCCAAAAACTAGAAAGGCCCATTGTAGCTCTGGCTTGCTACTTCAGAAGCCCATAGCTTGCTACAAGTCAAACAAGTGGCCAATCAAGGGAAATCAAAGTTCCAAACTTTGTCTCCCAGGAGGAGACGAGGATTTCTCAGCAGGTCATCCTGCCCAGTGAGTTTACTTTCCATCCAGAGGTTCCCTGCTCTTTAAGACGTGCCCAATGCCCCTGGTTCAGTAGGTGGCACCTCCGCCAGGCACCAGGCTCCTGGCAACCTTACCGTGTACCGGTGAATGGCGTGGTAGCCGTGGTACAGCTCAGCCAAGTGCTGGAAGTGGTGGAACTTGCTGAGCATCACATCCTTCTGGGCAGGATCTGCGGTGGGCAGCAGGAGGGGAGCAGGGCAGGAGGGAGGGGATGTGTCAAACCACGTCTAGAAGGAAGCGCTAGGCAACGGCACTGTTGCCAGTGTCAATTCTCCCTTGACACTGGGCCTATGCCAGGGAGAGCAGCAAAGAGGTGCAGTGGTGGGAAAGGTGCTCTGTTTAGGAGCTGGGGCCCTCCTAAGACAGGTAAAGTCTCAGCTGGGCAGACACATGGTCAGGAAAAGCCTGAGGACATTTCTTGCAGGTTCTCCCAGATCCCACACTACACCCTACCAGGTCATTCTACCTGGGCAGCACCAGCCGCGGCAAGAAGAGGGTGATCACTGGCACCCAGACATGCCAGAGGAACCTGGCGGGGAGTGGGCAGATGTCAACTTTATGCATGCTCATCTCAGGCCTCCTCCCTCTGCGCCTTTCCTTATCAAAAGCACTGGCCACTGGCCAGAACAGAAAAATGCCACCTTACACCTGGGCTTGACAGTTTCCAAATTATAACCATGGCCTCTGTGAGGCTGATAGCAGCCTCATGAAGGAAGCAGGGCAAGACCTTCCCATGCTACAGATGGGGATGTAGAGCCTAGGAAGGAACTGGGACTCGATGCAAGTCACCTGGGCTGTTTTCCTACTTCTGCATGCTGGCTTTGGTCCAGTGAAGAACATCTCCCCGTCCCCTCCACTTTCAGAATTCCCTCAGGGCATTATGGGAAGTCTTGTGAAAGACAGCCACACTGAAACTACTTTCCTTCCTAGGATGAGTGAGAATCTGGAGTGCGTTATTGTAAAGTGATCTTTTTTTCATTTAATTAAATTTTTTTTTAAACCAGTGCTCACCCGGGTCCAGTTACGGGCTCCCAGGTAGCAGGGGAGAGGTATGTTCTGAATTAGGAACACAGGGCAGGACCTCCCAACTGTAACCCCAGGACGGCCCTCATACCATCCTTAAGCTTATGGGAGAACTGGAAAAAGATGACACACCAGATTATGCTGCTGCAAGACAGGGTTATGGACAATACATCCAATAAACAAGCCCAGGGCTTTAATTAAAACGTCCCAGTTCTTCCGATGTTTATCTTGGTGCCAGAGCGGGACTGGGGAAAACAAGTGGCCTGGCTGATGTTTACTTACCTTGAGCTATATTGAGGCACTGCATGGACAGCATCCAGTAATAATAGGCAGCGTCATTAAATCTGCTCTCTACCACGGCATTGTGTGTGAGCTGCTCCAGCACCCTGACCGCCTCCTCCTGCCGCCCGGCCTTGTGGAATGCTGGAGGGGCACAAAAGCACACGCAGTTTGGAGAGGGTGATGGAATTCTGTGCGACTTGCAAGGGGCTGCTGTAGAAGTAGGACACTCATCAGAGCATTTGCAGCACTTCGTTGCTGGGATGCGCCTCTCAGGCCGAAGGCTATAAATAACTAAGGCTACATCCTGGAAAAGAGTACAGTGAGATATACTCATTTTTGGCTGGGAAAAGGCAACTGACTCTGGAAAGGCATGGCAGAAGGAAAAACCTGAGGGGCCAAATTGCAAGGCAAAGTCTGAGGATGGAACTGCTGCTCATCACCAGTGAGGTTTTGCCTCTGCCCCCATTCCCAGGGTAAAACTTTGTGACTCCCAAGGTGACACTAACAGGACCTGACACTTCAACAGGCTTGGGAGTTTACAAATTGCTACTGTTGCTGATTCCCTCACTGGGTCGCCACAACGGACTTATGAAGACTTTCTTAACAGGCTCTGCAAGGTGGAAGTCCTCAGCTGGTCTTCAACCAAGTGCTTTTGCAACAACCTTGAAAAACCTGGCTCAGTGTAGCAACCAAACATTTGTGAAAACAAGCAAAAAATCTCTCCATCGTCCTACATCCATTTAACAGAAATTTCCTGAGTCCCTAGTATGTGGCCAGACCCTTGGGATGCTTGGGGCTGCCAGGGAAGCACTTCAAAGCTGTGAGACTTGCCCACAAGTGGACACGCAGATGATCCAAATTCTCTGCTTTAGAGAAGGAAAAGGCCTGGCTTTTGTTCCATTCTCATCTCCAATCTCTTGTCTGAGTACCAAGTTACTATGGCGATGGATTCTTGGAAGGGCAGATACAGACAGATGGAGAGGTTGATGTGTTTTGCCCAAACATGCACATACTTCAGCAACTGGGTTCTCTGGAAATGCTGAAGCAGTAGAGAACATGCCGTCCTTCAATGGGGGCTTTTAGCTGAGGAGCTCCAACAGGGAGACATTTGTTCCGCAATGTGTCTGGAGGTGGCAACTGTTACCATATAGAAGTGTAAATGAGATGCTACAGAATATGACACACCCAACTTCAATTAGAAGACTTCCTAAAGAGGCAGCAAAACCATCAGAAGAATCAGGTTCCTGAGTCAGGCAGCTCCTGGTCCAATTCTGGCTCTGCCACTCTCCGGCTTTGTGACTTTGCAAGGCATAGTTAGCCCCTGAATCTCTCCAGGGCTGCTGGCGAGATTCAAGTTATGGAGTTAAGTGCCCAGGTGATGTCTGACACAGAGAAGCCAGCCACATTTTTAAATTATTATTAGCAGGTAAACCTCCATACTTCCTTTTGCTCCTATTTCAGATAACTGCCACAGCTGGTATGCAGCTCACTTTACCAACGGAAATGCCGAGAAGCAGAGGACACTCCATTTATCTGAGCCAGAAACAGAACCCAAGTTTCTATTCATGGTAGAGGAAAGCGGCAGGGGAGACGGTGCCAGACACTCTGCGGGCATCCTCTCACTCTGTCCTCGCCCCACCCTGGCTCAATCTCCCTCTCTGCCACTTCCTTGCTTTGAGACTTCAGGCAAATCCCTCTACCTCTTTCAACCTCACTTTTCTCATCTACAAAACAGTACCTCCATCATAGGGCCTTTGTGAGGATTAAGTGGGAAGATACATTTGAGTGCACAATACTTTGCTCATGGAGGAGGCATGACCTGCCTAAGGTCCTGAGCGAGTGAGTGATGGACCCACGCGTGCCCGACTCCAAAGCCCATTTCTTTCCACTGTTCCCCAGTCTTTCACCACTAAACACCTCACATCCCCAGGATAAAGTCATCAATCTTGGGGCCTATGAGGGGAGGGGCATGGCAGCCTTCCTGAAATGTGTGTCTTGGCAGTGCTTTCTCCTGCTCTGTCTGCAAGGTGCCAATCTGCATGGAATACCTTTCTGGGCTTCCTCAAAACGGTCATTCTCTGCTAGCCACTGCGCATAGGGCACGTAGATGTCATCCTTAAATTCAGGATGCTTCTCACCCAAAGCAAAGGCCTGGAGGAAAGAGCAAATGCATTCTTAATAAAGCAGCCCCTGCAGCCCCCATGAAAACACAGCACTTGGCTGAATCCATTAGAGATGTCATATTTTGCCAGCCTGACAACTCAGAGGGGGAGAGTGCCTCCCCTCCCCACCCCCAGAAACGCAAAAACAAATCAGCTCTTTGAAAACAAAAGGCAATTAACAGCAATATGCAAGCGACTGGATTCAGTAACAACACAGTCTGTTTCTGGACCAGAGAAGCAGCACAGAATCGGAAACATTTTATTTTGAGGGTTTGCGTGGGCTCCTATAGCGCTGCAAACAGATTTCTTTTAATTGCAGGCGACACCTAAGGAAACAGAATTGACATTATCATCATCACTGCTTATTAGCTGTCAAAGATGACTGGGGACTAGGGGCTGTAGGGCACCCAGTGACTGCGTTAGCTAGGCTCCAGAAACACCTGTCAGGCCAGGAGGATGGGAAATGAGTCAGGGCGGACAGATGTGGCAACAGGGAGAAAGTTTGCCTGATGCACAGCCAGGACTAAGTAGTTCTAAGATGCTCTAATTTATGCTGTTTGAGAAATCTCCCGATAAATTTATTTTGAGAAGCCATTATTGCCTCTTTCCCTGGCCCCACCTTTTCTCATCAGTGACCTTGTCACCTCACCAAATGGAGCCACTCAGAGGGCAGACAAGAGGCAGACAGCTCTTACCCAGAAAAGGCCCTGCTATAGCTGTGTAAACTAGATCACAGCAGGCGGACGGGGTGGGGTGAGGACAATGGGTGCAGCCTCTAATGCCCTTGGGGATGACTTTCAATCCAGAGCACAGGTAGTCAGTGACCTGGAGGGTGGGAGTCAAGCAACAGCCGGGGCAGCACATTGCTGCTTCTGACAGCCTCACCCCAGCCATCTCTCCTGTCGGCCTGGCTAATTCTTCTCACTGCCCCTCACGCCAGAGGGGTCCAGGTCAGTGGAGCGGTGGAGGAGGAGGAGCAACTGGCCCTGAAACAGCTCTGGCAGCCTGTACCTGGAAAGGTGTTTTCTGCAAAAATGCCACCCAGCAGGTTTTAAATGTCACACAAGTGTGTCTCCGTGTCAGAGAGGTGTCAGCCTCTGGTGCTGGTCAGAGGCAGCTCAGACCAACAGCAGGTACTGGGGGTGTCATGTTAAATCTCACATCCCTGGTGTCTGTCACAGCTGGCACAGAGCCAGCAGTCCATAAAGCTTTTCTGAATGAATGAATGAACAAACGAAGATGGAAAGCTAGTACCAAAAGGTCCTCCAAGATGCTCTGGCTCAGAGAATTTGAGGGTAAGTCTTCTGACTGTCAGGCCAATGTTCATTCCCACAAGGAGGGCAGCTGCTCTCTACCCAAAGCCCAAAAAGCCCCCCCATGGTCCAGAGCTCAGGCGGGACCATCTGACCCATGAGGCGTGCTCTGTCCTCACCTCATCCCAGCGCTGGGTCTCCACATGCAGCTGAACCAAGGACTTCAGGTCACCAATCTTCAGGTAGGTCTCAGCAGCATAGCCAGGGTTATCCAGCTTCTTGAAGTAGTGAGCACACATCAGCAGGGGCTCCCGCTCGGCCTTGTCCAGCTTACGGGCAATGTCGATCAACCTGGAGGGGCGAGAGTGCAGGAGGAAGGAGATGGACTCCTGTGAAGGAACCTGAGGGAAGGAAGTGGCATGGGCTTTCGGGGCTTCTCGAGGGAAGACCCTGTGTCGACTCATGTTGATGTCCCCAGTGCTCAATATGGGATGATGGCCTGGTGCTCGATGAGTGTACTCTGAAACACTGCGCAGTGACCAGGAGAAGTTGCCTGCTAAATGACACTATCTTCCCCACCTCATGTGCCTTTCCAGCAGGATCTGTGTATGGAAACAAACATCTACTGATCACTGACGGGGACGAGCACAGCCCCACGACCTTTCACATGTGTGACTTCACTGACTCTTCACCACCCCGAGAGGAAGCACTGTTATTCTCATTTCACAGAGGAGAAGACTAAAAGCTAGGGTGGGAGGCGGAGCCACCCGTCTAGGACACTGCAGCCAGGGAGTGGCAGAGGATTCCTTCCACCACTGTTCTGGGAATTCTCATAGGAAAGCAGAGGCAGAGGCATAAGAATTCTTCAGTGACAGCACCTCCAGAGGAAGAGGCATGTGTGGGGCCTGCTCTGAGCTCTGGAAGAAAGGCATACAGAAAATCTTGACTATGTCTCTCCTCCTGGCCAAGATGCTGACCACGGCTGACGGGACACAGGGACCACTCACTGGGTCCTTGCTTCGTCCCAGTGGTGATGGGCCCTCTCACTGCTTGTGGGGACATGGGGACTGGATGGAAAGTGCTTGTTCACTCTGGTCAGGCTGGGGTTTGGAGTAAAACCTGCTCTCCCAGGGGAATGGGGCTCTACCCAGCTTGCTCCTTGTGAGAAGGGAAGGAAAGCAGCTGTAACAGATCCCTGTCTCAGAGACAGGCAAGCTCAGGGAGGTCTGTCAATCTGCACTTAGAATAATAATGGTAACTAAAAATAACACCTCTCAGCAGAGAGAACACATTTTTAGGGAAAGGTGGTCCAGGCAACCCCTTAGAGCCCCTCCAGTCCCACCCATCAAATGAAATGTCCCTGGAGGAGAGGCACCTTTTACAGCCAGACTTGGAAAAGGGACAGAACATGCTTAATGTCTCTTTCCTGAATTAGTTAAGTATCCCCAGGGTAACCTGATACATATCAGTTCCACATGAAAGTGACATGAAAAACTAGAGAGGAGAGCAGAGCCCTAAATCTGCCTAGCTCCTTCCTACACCACCCCTTTTGCGAAAAGAATCATTTTTGGGGCCAAATCTGTGCCTCCCTCTTCAAGAAACTTTATTCGTGGACAAGAGAAAGATGGAGTGGTAGGTCACACACCAACGTTGCTTTGCGAGAGGCACACACACTAACTACATGGTGGGGTTCACAGGGTGACTTAATCATTAACCAGCCGCTCTCCCTCCCCAGGTCCTGCCTGGGCCACCTCTACCTGTGGACCACAGTGTGGCTTGCAGAACAGATGTTAGGGCTCAAACTGAGCCAACCTCAGGAGCTGCTCCCTCATCTCTTCTCCTTTGCCAGCTGTGGCAGCATGTGTGTGTACACGTGTTTGTGTGAGCATGAAGCCCACTTTCCCTGACCGTGGGAGGAGAAAGCCCTCCTGGTGGAGGTCTGATGCTCTAAGAGTCCCAAGACTGAATCCATCCTCTGTCCAGGCAGCCTCACCCCAAGCCCGCTGCTCTTCCGTTCTCTACCTTGGCAAGTGGCATGACTGACCACCAGGCCCAGAGCTCAGAAATCAGCCTTCAGCTCTCTCGCCCAGCCCCGCCCTGACACCCGCATCCAGTTGGGTCCTGTCAGTTCTAGCTCCTACATGTCTTTTGTTCCCTCAGGCACCACATTCCCGCCTGGTAGACTATACTGGCCTCCCTACCTCTAGTTTTTCCTCCATTCTACACCTACTGCCTGAGTGGACTTTTGACAGCACAGCCCCAACCAGGGGTCCTCACTACCTAGTGGCAAATCTAAATGCCACAGTTTGATACCTGAGGCCCTCCTGGTGTGGTGAGCCCAGATCCCCTGCTGCAGCCAGCCAGCCTTCATTCTCCCACTCCTACAGCTTTTATTCCAAACACAGCCTGCTCGTTCTGTTGGTGCTGTTCTTCCAGCCTGGACATCCCTCCCCTTTCTGTCATCTCTGCCTCTTGAAATTTGTCAAGGTCCTTGATGCGAAGACCACCTCCAGGAGAAGACATTCATAGTTCCTCCCATGAGAATTCATGTCTCCTTCCTCGATGTGCTCAGAACTTTTCTTGTCCTTTTTTAGCTCCTACCTTTATCCAGGTTATGGGCACTGAAGTCAGCCAGATCAGTTTGGAGCTCAGTCCCATGACTTCCCAGCTGTTTGGCCTTGTCCTATCACTTGTCCGCGAACCTTGGTTTCCCTCATTTGGAAGATGGGCATGGAAACACCAATGCTTAGGGTGAGGGGGCAGAACCAAACGCCTACAAGGCATCACAGCCCCAATGGCTGGGTGTCTCCCCCTCCTCATTCTCGCCACCCTTTCCTCCAGGGACTCACTAAGCTCCTCAAAAGCTGCTTCAATGTCCATGTCTCCCAAAAAGCTAGTAGTATCACATTTGGATTAGATATTTAGAGAAACACTATTTTTTCCCTTGTCAGTCAAAACCAAGAGCTGACATGACATGACATGACATGCTGCCAAATGCTTCTTGGGGCAGGGACTAAACACTTACATGTCAACCCAGCCATGGTCGCCACTGATCTCTATGGCCTTGACATGCTCTCCCGCTGAGATATACATCTCCACAGCGGCTTTGGGCTCGTTGATGTTTCTAGCCCAGTCGGCCTGTTTGGTGATTAGCATCTTTGTTTCTTTGGGGTCTCCAGATCCAAGGAAATCCTGAGGAAGCACAACAAACAAAAACACACTGGATTAGAACTTCCTGCTGCCAGCATTACGTCAGGCTGCTGAAAGCTGGAGCAAGGAAGGGCTGCGTTTGGCTGAAGCGGGCGATCAGGATGCAGGCATGAGTCCATCCCTGGGTGGCTGACTAAGGGGCAGTCCCAGGTGTCAGGGAGGAGTGCTCACAGGCTGCCTCACAGGTGCCCCTGGGGGTACAGGGACAGTGTCAAGGACTGTGGCCCTCAACATTTCCTGCCCTTCTCGCTAATGCACATTTGTTTCTGGACTCTTTGGAGTACTGTACACAAACCCTATAGCACGGAGGCTCTATGATCAGGTTACAGTGTCTCTCACACAGAGTTTGATGTCTATATGACCATTCCTATACAGTGACTCTAAAACCTGTTTGCACAGTTGTGAATATTCAGACCTACACTCTGAACTGAGGGCCCTCTGGGCCCTCCTCTCAACTACCACCACACTGGAACCACTATCACATCTGTTTTCTGATTCTATTCATGTTCTGTTGCTTGAACTTAGGGCATCATCCCCTTGGCTTTGCCCCCAGCTATTTGTGTAGGGCAGATAAGGAGCAGAAGTGTTTTTGGTTAATTACTTCTCAACTGGATAGTATCGGACCTATCCTGAGATCAGGTCTGCAGGGGTGGGGACAGCAGGAGGCCATGGGAGCTCTGAGGCAGGGGGAAGGGGCCTGGAGAGAACCTGTGAAGGAAGAGAAGCCTGTGGATCTGGAGGCTCAGGGGGCGGACCCCAGGGCCTGTGTTCCTTCCAGCACAACAGGGGGCTGGAGGGCCATGACCAGCTTCCCTGGGTTGGCCCTTGAATGTGAGAGAAAGCCTCAGAAAATCACCTCTTTTCAGGAAGCAGTTACCCAAAATACATATGTGAGAGTTTGCCATAGTTGAGGCAGCTTTGGTGCTGACATTTTTAAAGGTGGGGCTTTTCAAAAAGGGAAATTGAGAGCTCTTAGGGCCCAGATCTGCATTACTAGTAAGAAGCAGTTTGTCTTAGGAATAATGAGCCCTGCAGAGAGTGCTCTGTGTCAACCTCACAAAGTAAAAAATGCACTCTTTTCTCCATGATTAGCACTCATTTGTCAGGAAAGTACAGTCAATGTATGCTAAAAACCCACTTGAACAATTAAGTCTCTTTCTTTTTCCATTTGCTTTCAGGGTAATTGTGTACCCACTAAAATAATATATTAGATTGGCCTAAGACAACCAACTGTTTGAAGGGGAGCATCATTTACCCTGATGCTGGGGGTCCAATAAAAGACAGACCCACCTCGCTGGCCTTTGGTCTCTCTGGAGCTCACACATGTGAAAGCAGCCACTGACTATCTGCAGATGCCTAGTTTGGACCATTACAGACACAGCCTTTACTCTCAGCAGCTACTACAACGTGACTCTTTATGCCAGTGCAAAGCCAGAAACTCTGCTAACCTGGCTGGTTAAATGAGGCTAGGAGCTGGAGAAAACAGGCATCATACAAGAACAGAAATGTCCTTTAAAGTGAGGTGCTTAGTGCACTCGGGATGACTCTAGTGAGAAAGGGCAGAGGCCAAGAGTAAGCCATAAATTTGGGTTGTCAAAACAAGGAGACCAGCCAGGCACATAGCTCACAGGCTTGAAGGAGCCTCCTTTTGCCCAACAGCCCAGCTCTGGGAGCTCTGACCTAATTGAAGCTGAGTCTAAATGGTTCCTTCAAGGCTCAACACACTGGGTTTTCAAAGGTTCTTTGGTTCCATGAAGCTAATTTACAAGTTATCTGGGGTCGTGGCAAAGACTTTGTCCTGGAGTGGACAGAAAGAGGCTGTGCTGAGTGATGAATGAGACTAAACAGTGTTCTCATGCTTGGTGATTTTGATAAGGACATACTACATAAGAGTTAAGAGCATTATAATTCCCTTTATCACCATATAAACATGTCACTTATCCGGAAAGCATACAATTTATTTGTACGTGGGAATGTAATTTAAAAATTTTCCAAAAACCAGATTGAATCTTGGGAAGCAATTTTCAAGTAAACAAAAACATGTCATGTTAATAAGCACTGTATCTCCCCTCACCCCAACATAATGTGTATGTACACATTTTCTTAAATTCAGACTACTGGGGGGGATTGAAATGGAACCAATCTACTTGGAATTGTGATAAAAAACTAAAACCAAAACCAACCCCCAGATTTACTTTCATAGAGAGGCAGACCAGATGGAGTGCGTAAATGGGCTACATTTCTGTGTAGGAGACTGTAGGTGCATGAAGCCCACCTCAAGTGTGAGGAGGGGCCTCAGCGCAGGGACAAGAATGGGGCTGGTTGGGGAGAGGTCTGAAGAAACAGCCACTCTGTGATTACACTTGGCCCCTCTCATTTTCCTAACCATTCTACAGCTTGGCCTTTGTACAGGGCTTTCTCATACATTATTTTGTGCAATTCTCAGAACAAAGCTGTGCTGTAGCTATGTTACCCTCTAAGAAGGAAATGGAGGCTCAGCAAAGGGAAGAGCTTTTCCCCAGGTCACCCATAGGAAGGACCAGGACTCACACCAGCTCTCTGGATGCCAAGGCAAGGCGTTGTCTACTGTGCCACAGCTGCCTGCTAGGAAGTTTCAGAGGTTCCAGGAAGGGCTAATGGTCCCAAAGAACAACCATGTCCAGCTGTTCCTAATGCCTAAATTCTAACCCTAGGAATTCAATCTTTCAAGATTTTGTCTTCAGTATAAATGTTGTTATCCCCAGAAAGAGAAGCACTGATTGAGGCGTTCTCAGTATGAATGCAGTGCTAAATCTCGTGTGTGTGTGTGTGTGTGTGTGTGGTGAGAGTATGGAGGGAGGGTAAAAAAGTTGAATAGGGCAAAGTGGAGGAGCCTGAAGCACCCAGATCTGAGGGATGGATCAAGGTGAAAAGACAGACTGGGACCCAGGTACTCATCCAGGTGTTGATGACCAGAAACCCCTGGGCCACATCACAGTGACCCAGACACAACCTTCAGCCCCAGGATCTCACAGATGGTATAAGAAAAAAGAGCAGAGCCATCTTCGGGAATGGAAAAGCAGAAAGAAACGGGGACAATTTTCCATTTCAAACTTGTGAGCTAGATAATTGCCATTAATAGCCACTAATTGGTTGTGGCTGATGACTCACTTAATAACATTTTGAAATCTCTCTGACACTACCAAGAAAGGCAGGTTATCAAAGGCATCTCCATGGAAGGAAGAGCCTGATTGCTCGATGCACCCAAGGCTCTCTTCACCTTGTATTACGCTAAACTGCAAATGTCTCGATGGTCTGGGCTCCCCAGTGGGACTCGCTCTCATATAAGCCATGAGGAGCCTGCTCCAGGAAGATCTCCCTCATGTACCCAGACTTTTTGGGGACTACCTTAACAGGGGCCCTCCAAATGCAAGAGGAAATCTCCATCATCACCCATGCAGATGATGTGGAGGGCACTATGCACACGCCAGGGCTGCACCTGAAAGCACTGGAGGACAGGGACTCTGTCATGGTGTCTCCAAGGCCCCGTGCGAAGCCAAGTACCAATTAGAGAGCAGGCGCTCAGGACACCTTGACTAGAGTGAACCACGTTGTCCTGTATAACAATGGTAGAACCAGTTCATACCTGGAGACACTGATTCCCAGTGGCTTCTAACAAAGGTTTGAAAGAATTTGCGGGAGACAGCCCTGAACCCTGAACATTTAATGAAGGGACTAGGCTGGTTTAGACTCACAATCTATCCAGCTCCATCTCTGACAAAGGTCTGAACTATCATACTCTGTCCCTTTGATGTGAGCCTGAAAGGTCAGTTTTAGGTTAGCTTCAACCAGTGGCCGTTGATGGTTCCTTTGTTTACCAATGTGCCCACATCCTTTCTGAGGCCATTGCTGTTTTCCATCTGTACCACCTCTAGGGGTAAACAACTTGGACAACGCAGTGTCAGAACACTGGTGGGCACTGGGGCCCGGGATGTGGGTGGCACATTACCTTGGCATACTCAAACATGCGGAGGTCAGTGTACATGTCGAGTGCGAGGTTCTCGTGCCCGCTCCTCTTGTACAGTTTGGCTGCCTCATGGAACTTCCCCTGATAGGAAAACACATCTGCCAGAAACAGGTCATTGTTGGTCTCTCCCCGCTTCTTCCTCTCCTGGAAAAATTAGAAGCACAGGAAACGGCCTCTGCAGCCATGGCAGGAAGCAGCCTTTACAAAGGTTAGATGTTGCTATTTCAAGTTAAGCCCCTTGGGCCTTCCTACTGGAACCTACACTTGGCTCCTGGGCTGTTGTGTCTCTCACCTAGGTTTCTGGTGGGAGTGCTTGACAACAAAAGCAGATTGTTTTTTCCAGATGAGTGAAGATCAAAAGAGACGCAAACTTTTGTTTGTTTAATGGAAACTCCTCAGGGCTGCTTTCTTGTACATTCTTCCCAGGAAACAACTCCAGATTAGGATGGTGTGTACTACTACACTTGTTGATGGCCCCCAAGCTCCCAAGACCTCCCACATCCCCAGGCCTGGTTTGACCAAGTTGTGACTCACGATGATGGTGGACAGGAGAAAACTTAAGTTGGTTTCAAGAAGGAGACCAACAAAATGTATAATGAGTCTTACTATGTCCCTGTCTCTAAAGGGAAAGTAAGCCATGTCATGTGCTGAGCACCCACTAGGCACAGGGTATATACTTCCCACATGGACCCAAGGATGGATGGTGCCACCTAAGTGTCTCACTGAGGAAAGCTGAAATTTACAAGAGGAGCAGGTGGAGGTCATATAGAGCTGGCATTTGGACTCAGTCTGTCTGACTCCAGATGCTTTTGGTACCATAGAACAGCACCTTTGGAAACAAGTGATGGTCCCCAACAACACACCTGCACGGGCACTCACAGGCACTCACATGTGTGCATACATGTGCTCGCACACACAGACGTGCAGCAGTGCTGAGGATGAAGAGAAGTAACCGGCACACTCCTTCCTCTTGTGTTAGGGAATATTCATTAGTCTACAGCTCAAGTATTTGTAAACATTCACTAGCACCCAATCTCTCATCCCCAGCAACTTCCTTTTGCTTGCTTTCTAGCAACTGTACCACAGTGGAGGAAGATGAGACACTGAATCAAACTCTGAGACAAGCTGGTGAAAGTTTTAACAGCTGGAGGCAACATGCTTCCCTACTGACAGAAACAATAATAAAAAACCAAAAAACTGCACATAGTGTAGGCTCATCAACCAAATAAACTAACTCCTAATTATAGGAAATGAATTAAAATCTTGCAGTGAGATAAAGAAATAGGTTTCACTGGGCATGGAATTCATTCATTCTAGGTCACAGAATATCATCATGATCAATAAAAACGATTTACATTCAGTATGTACATAGCCATATGCGCAGATTCTCTTCCTGTTGTATCAGTGGAGTTACATCTCACCTGTTCAAAACGAGCCTAGTAAGGAATTTTGGTTCTCTAGAATAATGCTGAATGCCAAGAAGCAAGTAACTGAGGCCTCAGAGCAGCCAAAATGGATCCTCACTTGAAGACACTTTACTCTTTTTCAAGAGACAATTCTTACAAGTTTACTTTAACTGACTGCCCAGCTCATAGCACACTAGAAGAGACATTAAGACAGAAACTCAGTAAGTGGTCTTCACAGAGGTCAGTTACCTTTGCCTAGAGAAAAATTATGTTCCAGGGCTCCAGATTAAGACCCCTAGATCCAGACCACTTGGTTCACAAATGCTAGCCCCTGACCTTAGTAAGTGGTACTGGGCATTCCTGGTAGATGGCTCTGAATAAACCCTTCACCATGCAAGTAAGCAAACAACGGAAGATACAGACACTCCTTACTATGGTGCTGGGGGTGGAAGTGGGTGTGGAGGGGGTACACCAGGAGCAACTTCTTAGATGGCAGCACGACCTAAAGACAGCATGAGCTTGGGAAATAGACAGAACTGGCTTTGAATTCCAAGTGAGTTTTTGTCAGTAGACTCTTGGGGATGTGACACAGCCTCTCTGAGCCTTATGTATCAAAAAGGGATAAGAACAGTATCTGCTTCATTAAGTTGTTGTGAGGATTTAAAATAGTGTACACATCGATTACGCGTGGGGCACAAAGCAGCCACTCAACAAATGGCAACTATTATTAGGCTTAGCAGGCTGTGAGCTCCTGCAGGTCTCTCTTCCTCTCAGCTCTTTGCACACTGGGCTCAGCACAAGGCTTGGCCCATGACAGGTGTTTATTATGCTGAACTGAATTGAAGGGACAAGACATTTGCTGATTTCCTCACTGCTTCCATATGGGAATTCAAATGTATCTCACCCTCCCATAGCCTCACAATAAATCTGTTCAGGAGAAAAAATATGTATGCCTTTTTACAGACAGTCAGACAGCACTAAGATACACAGGAATTAAGAATACTGTCTACCACCACCCAGCAAATGGTGCAAGTAGAACCAACCTCTTTAGCACGCCCAGCCTTCGCGGCTTTGGTGGATGAGGTTCTCATCCAAGAATGGTGGGCTGGGGAGAGGGCTCCAGAGCTCCCCAGGTGCCCGGTTCAGTCTGCATGCCTCCTTCCCCAGGTCCCATTGCTGTGGGTGGGGCCCAGATCACATGCATTTGGGAAATGTCTTCTACAATGGCACATTATTGGAGCCCTAGAGGATGGTAACTAGCTAATGAGCACAAGGATGAAAACCAGTTACTGAGAACCTGTTTAATCCTCCCAGAAACCCTGCAAGGTAGGTCTCATCCCTTTTCACAGACAAGAAACCAAAACTCAGAGAGATTAGGAACCTACCTGCCTCACCCAGCTACCAAGTGACAGACAGTACTTCTTGCTCCCGTGTGCTGTCTCCCCCTGCATGGCATGCTCCTCCCCCACAGCAAGGTGTGGCCCGGATGCCCAGATACCAGTGGGCTCTGTTCACATGTCCTCAAGGCTCTCGCCTCCTAGAAGGGCTGCCTGTAAACCACTGACGGCAAGCCTGGGCTTTCTTGAGAACGAAAAGCATTTCATTGTTTACCTCAATGCTGTTGATGAGCTCCAAATATCGGAGGTCTTGTACTCTGGTGAAGGCCTACAGGGAAAGATAATAAAAAAAATAAAATCAGCTGCCTTCTGGGCTTCAAAAGTGGGTGATTGGCTGGAGGTGGGAAGTCAAGCTTTACAAAGTGAGCCAGTAAGGAGGGAAAAGAAGCAAGCATTGATTAATCACCGTCTGTTCAGGGGAGTTATACCACTCAGTGAGGTACGGCTTTATCCCTGGGATTAGTCCATACAAAGAACAGCAAAGAAGTCCTGGCTGCATCAATCACTTTGGGATTAGGTAAAACAAAACTGTGATACTGCAGACTGTGGTGGTGCCTGCTTGGAGGAATCTCTGTAAAAGGGAAGAACAAGCCAGTCTGACACTCTGAGGCAGTGGCATCAGAGCGGGAGTGGGGAAGAGGTACTGACTGAGCAGAGATTGCACGTACATCTGGGTGACTTGGACAGAAAGGAGGAGACAGCAACGCTTACTGACGGTGCATAAACACAGGGCACCCAGAGCCCATGGTACCAGCACAGAGGGAGAGGAGGAGGGGAAATCTGAGAAGGAATAAAGATGGTTTCTGGAAGGAAGGGGGAGGTAGGGAATGAATCCTTCCAAGCCCCTGGAAGGCGAGCTCTTACGTAAATCCTACAAGTGCAGCTCTTGCCTTGGACTCGCAGGAAATCCAGAGACTTTAACCCATGGGCTGCTGGAAGTTTCTAGGCAGCCTTTCTCATGCAGATTGATGTTAGCTAAGCCTCTTTTGCTACTTTCAGATTCTACAAGGGGTTTGGAGGAGCATAACCCATCCTGTCAGGCTATTTTCATGTGGGTTTATTGTCAACATTTCTACCCAGCTGAGTTTCTTTACATTGTCCTGTTTGAAATGGGTTAACACACTTCTATAGGAGGCAACAGATCCAGAAGCCCTCAGAATATGAAATACAGAACAACCCTGGCCACTTGCAGCCTCTACTTAGCTGCATGACATCTTCCATCCTAAAAAGACTTGGGGAAATGAGCAAGTCATCCGGCCTCTGGCTGCCTCACAGATGACCACAATGTGACTTCAGCTTTTCATCCCACACGGCTAGGCATCCTGTCAGGGGCTGGGACCTAGGGATGAATATGACTTGGCCCCCATTCCCTTCTGCAAATCAGGGGCCCATATGCTAAAAGGGGAGGAAGGCAGATTAAACAGACCATTAAATCTCCCTGAGCTAAGAGCTATACAAGTCTGAACTAGAAGCCCTGGAGAGCACAGACCCACTGTCTGAGCGCAGGCAGTGGCAGGAGGCAGGATTAAGTAAAGCATCACAGAGCAGGAACCTGGCAAATAGGTACTCCTAGAGAGGAATTTCCTTGAAAGGGTAAGGCAGGCATCACATGAGCGAAGGGATAGAGGGCTAAGAGCTTCGATGTTCCTCACTGGAGATCTCATAAAGCTTCTAGATCTGGGCTTCCTTAAAGCAACATTAAAGGGGCAACTTGTAATGTCTGGTAAAGTGGCAGAGAGGAAAGAACGAGCATTCTAGGTCTCAGTCCTAGCTCTGAGACTTTCCAGCTGGGGAGCCCTGAACCAGGCTCCCAACGTCTTCTTTATGGAAAGGGGCAAGCTAGTGATGCCCTCTCCAAGGGTCTTTCTAGTTCTGCTCTGCTAGGATTCTAGGATTTGCGACTTGAGAAATTCATTTCCAAGTTCCTTCAGCCCTGACACATTCTGCAGAGTCAGGGGTGCCCTGGCCGGAGTGGTCAGAGTCACAAGGCCCATGAGTAACTTCAGCAGAGGAAGTGCAGGACAGGGAAGCATCTGCAGCTCTGCTCAGCACAGTGGTCCCAGGTGCTGAGCGGCTTTCCTCTGCCATCTAGTGGGCACACCGGTCTACCGCTGGGAATCACCTCCATGTGTGCCTGAGTGACTTGGCAAAGCAGAAAAGCAAGCCTGGGCACTTGGGATCTGGACATAACGATCAAATTCTAGTCTATGGTCAAAATCTTGTGGCTTTAATACAGTAATATCTGTTCTCAGGGAGCGTTTGGGGGATAACAGGACTCGGGGAGGGGGAGGTGGTTAAACAAATGAAGGGTCATTTCAGTTTTCATCCAAACATTTGCTAAGCTCCTAATAGTGCTTGGCTGTGTCGGCTGATACTAAGAGGAGGTAGATGTTTAATCCTTGGGTGTAAGGAGACGACAACCTATAGGAAGACTTTTAATTTCATTCCAGGCTAAAAACGAACAAAACATATTCTAGGGATCCTTTGTTATTCTTCATCCCTCCTGGCATTTCTGGGTGAGGCAGGAGAGGGAAGCTATGGAAATGCTTCCTTCCTCCTTTGAATTCTTAAAGGACTCTTCTATCAACACTTTTCTGACACTTAGTACACTTATAAGTATAATTATTATATAACGATAATTTTACTTGTTTTGATAACAGCTAGCATTTATACAAACACTCTTAGTTTTAGAATCCCTTTTACAATGTGGCAGTTAAGCCTAGTGACACTGTGACAGGCAGGCACGATGGTGTCTCCCCTTAGAAATGGGAGAACTAAGGCTCTGAGAGAAGTGGCTTGCCTGGGGTCATCTAGCCTGTACATGGCAGAGCTGGTTCTCAACCAGGCTTCTGAGTTCTAGTCTGGTCTTGGTCCACTCTTTTCATGCCTAGGAGTCTTGACTCAGCATGGGGCCAGCATCACAGACCTCTGCAACTCCTTCCCTACCAGCTTAACAGCATGGGCAAAATGAGTATCGGAGTAATTGGCTGTGGGAAGGTAAAGAGGGAAGGGAGAAGTAAGGTAGAGGGGGTTGGAGGCCATTCCTTCCCCCTACCTCAGGTTCCAGATGGAAACCTAACTTAGAGACATACTGATTTTCCTAATGTGTAGAAAGGGGTGAAATATTTTCAGCCATTTCTGTTGTTTTAATAGACTGAGTCAGGAAATGACACTGTGAATCAAGGCCACGAATCATGCCATGAAGTTATGTGGGGAGTGAGAGAGCTCGACTGTCTCTTCCACTACACTTAGCAGAGTGCCAAGAAAAACAGCATTGTGTAATAAATGGCCTAACACCAATAAGTGCTTATACCAATACCATTTACGAACTGCCTATTATGTGCCAGGCTTTTAGCTAGGTGCTTTACATAAATGATAGCTAGTAAGAGTGACAGCCAGAATCTATCAGATGCTTCTCCCGGGTCAGGCTTTACAGGCATTATTGCATTAGATACTTACAACTTTGTGAGAATGGGGCCAATCATCACCCTAATTTTACAAACGAGCAACCTTAGAAAGGCTGTTGCCTGCCCAGGCTTACGGTTAGGAGGTGTCTGAGCTGAGATCTGCACCCAGGTCAGTCTAACTCCAGAGCACTAGAGCCTGTGTCTGCCTCTCCACATGTCACCTGGACCCCCTTCTGTCCTTCAACGGACCCTCTAAGGACCAGATTCCAGCTCATGCTGTCTAGATGCTTACCTTCTTTGCTGTTTCGAATTCTAATCCTTCTAAAGCCTCCATGGCCAGCTCACGCCAATCAGTGTCTGTCACACCCAAGCAAGCAATTTGGTAGGCTTCTTTAAACATTTTCCTATCCAAGTACTGGTACATCGGAGCAGACTGCAGGATTTCATCAAAAGGAAAGAAGATTGCTTTCAGAGTAATAGAAAGAGTCAGATTCATACAAAGCCTGACTCCAGATGTGTGCACCAACTTAATTACAAATGGCTGCAGAGCAACACTATAATGTGTCATCAGCACCCTTCTCAGCAGCACCCTAGCCCACCCTACGTGCCTTCCATTCTGCCACCTCCTTTCAGAGCCCAACCATTGTGCTCAGCAGCACAAACTTCCTGCCCATCCTCCCCTCCACCTCCGGTCCTGCCTTACCACAAGATGTCACCCTCATCTGGAATAGCTTTGCCCCTCCTCACCCTCTGGAAAGTACCTATTTGGCTTTCAAGTCACTGTGAAAATGTCATCTCTTCTGGAAAGTCTTTGCTGACTCCTCAAGGAAGAGTCTGAGTTTCCTTTGCCCTTTGTCCAGATCTCAGATTGTGTTGTAATTACAAGCCTGTCTCCCCTGCAAGGCTGTGCACAGCCTGAGGGCAGCAGTGGGGTTGTAGTAACCCTCCTCAGCAGGTCCTCGGTCTACTTGCTGGGGGAATGAACTTTACTGTGAGGAAGGGGTCTGGAATGGCCTCTTACAAAGAGGGCAGAGAAACCCTACCCCAAGAAAGGTAAGAGATTTGCTCCAGGTTACCCAGGAAGGCTCTAGACACACCTCTCCTAGTTCTCTGGTGCTGGAAACCTTCCTACCATCCCTCCTTCCTGATGGGGCTGCCTCGCTGTGTGTGACACCTGTGAACGGTTCCTAATAACTTCTCTTCTTAGGTTTACACAGTGCTTTTGGATCTGTCCTCAAAGCCCTGTGTCATAGGTATTATCACTCCCTGATTATAGCCCAGGAGGCTGACACTCAGAGAGGGCAACTGACTGATCTGAGGACACAGAAGTGGCATATGGAAGACCTGGGGCTGGAGCTCGGGGTGACCTGACTCCGGGTTCTAGGCTCCTTCCTGCCTCTGGATGTGTATGTGTGCGTGTGAGTGAGTGTGTGTGTGCACACACGAGAACAAGTCTGAGCTAGGCCTGGGTGTCTTTAATAACGAAAGGACTTGCCCATGTTTGAGGCCGGCCTGTGAGCTGAAGGGAAGTGCACCTCCTGGATTCCTGGGCAGTGGAGATCAGTGAGCCAGGACCCCGTGCTAATGGTTCCCAAATGTAGAGCCGGAAGTGCTGTCTTCTCCATTTGGGGCCTCTATCTTTGAAATTTCCCGTCTCCTTTTTCAGCTTTGGAGTTGAAGGAAATTTTTTTCTTTTTAAGCCATTTTACCCTCTGACAGCAAGATGTGGCTGCTTCTGAGTGCTGATCTTTTCTACCATATGTGCCACCCCATCCACCTTCCCTCCTCTCAGCGGGGCAGCAGGGTATGGACTGGGGAGCAGTTGAGCTAGAACCCTAGGCCTGGGTCAGACACATCACGGCTGTGTGATTTTTTAGCTAACCTGATTAACTTCTGTTTAGATGCCCTGCCCAGCCCACAGGCTACCAAGGGCAAACAAGAGAAGTGCTTTGAAAGCGATAAAGTGAGAGCAAAAAGTGAGCATGCCCATTACTACCTCTTTATTTTCTCAGCACCAGTTCATCATCATCTCCCGAACTCTCCAGATTTGTTCCCACCCCGACCTTTCTCTGTTTGAAACACCCTTGCTGCTCCTTTCTGCCTTCCCAGACCTTTCAGGGCTCAGATTAGGTGTCACCACCTCCTGGAAGCTTTCTCAAACTCCCCATGCACAATGAGCTTTCCTTTCTAAACTCCTTTAGTGAGCACCTTCCATTCCAATTTAGTTGTTTTGTAGTGTTTACTATTTTAAGATGGTTAATAATAATAGGAATTGGGCTAGACAAAACCAGAAAGATGGGTATATTTAATCCCACTGCATTACACTCCAGAGAGTGAAAGGAAGTGTTTGAGGTCATAGCTGGTTTAGACTGACTGGTGCTGGAAACCTTCCTACCATCCCTCCTTCCAGATGGGGCTGCCTCACTGTGTGTGACACCTGTGAACGGTTCCTAAGCCAGAACTCAAAGCCAGTGCTCCTTCCCCTGAACTGTACAATTTCTTGCCATGCTGAATGCCCCAGGAAGGTGGGACAGAGACTCAGACAGGCACATCAGAATTGAGCATACAATGAATGGTTAACATTTGGGCTTGCTTGGGAAGCGCAATCGGAGAGTGGGAGTTTTAAAAATATCCTAACTGAACAAATGCCCTCTGAGCTCCACTTTATCTCACTGTTGCATTCCAAGCATGAAGTCACCACCCACCCTGAGAAGCCTGAACTAGAGCTTGCTGGCCTACTTGGCAGCCCTGACAAACCAGTTCTTGCACAAGATGATGTAAATTTCGAAAGGAAACCAGAAATCCCCAGAGTGTGTATGATGCTTTCTCCCTCCTCTCTAGGCGAAAACCACGGGATGGCTGGAGGCAGAGGCGACAGATAAATAGCCTTTGTCTTGAGTCTGTCTTTCCTAACCCTTGGCAGTTCTGACCTGCTGCATCAGCAGGATGGCCCTGGGGGGGCTCTGGCTTCTGAATCTTAAGGGCTTGGCAGAGGGAACCCCAGGCCGCCCCTTCGGCTCCTCTTGGCTGGCCAAAGCCAAGGAACAGCAAACTGTATTTATCTTTGAGGTCAGGATGGCAGTCTTGGGGGAAGAACTTCCAATCAGCACAGCTGGTTTGGAACGATGGGGGAGGACTGGGTTTCTGGTGGATGTGGTACATGGGTGTGGGATGGGGAGCAGATGAGGACTGCAGGGAAACAGTCCAGCAGGCGTTGTTCTTGCCTCTCCTCCTGCTGCCACTTCTACCCACTTTTCTCCCTTCTTTCTCTGGCTTTTTTTCTCTTTCCTTTTCCTCAGATCTGAATTCCACTAACATTTATTGAATAATTGCTCTGTGTCAGACACTAATAATTCTTGCAGCAATGAAGAACAAGGATATCATCAATTTAGAGGAGGAAGGGGACTCCAGCCCCATTCTTTACAAGCCAAGCCAGGGACAGTGAGTGAAGGCAAGGTGCGTGGAGGGAATGTAGATTGATGTAATATAGCTGAAGGGCAATCTGGAAAAGTCTAAAAATTTTTCAAATGTACATAGCCTTTGACCCAGCAATTTCACTTCTAGGAGTTTATACCAAGGAGCTAAGCTGGGATAGGTTGAAAGACTTAGCTAGAAAGATGTCCACTATCTACAACAGCAAAAAAGCAGTAAACAGCATAAATGTCCAACAATAGGTCCTGGTTGAGTAACTTGTGGAACATCCATGTGACAGAATAAAAAGCAATTAAAAACAATGCCGGGGGTAGGGGAACAGGGTGAGGGGTGTGCTTATAATAAAAGGGCAACCCAACACTGGGGATCTTGTAGGTTGGTGGTGGATACATGAACCTACACAGATGATAAATTTGTACTGTAATTTTGCAAATTGTTACCAATGGGGGAAACTTGGCAAGTTGTGCAACAGATCTCCGTATGATTTCTTACAACTATATGTGAATCTACAACCATCTTAGTAATTAAAAATTCTAGAGAAGTACATTTATTGACATGGAGCCATGTTTCCAGTACATTGCTGAGTGAAAAAGCCAGACTGCTAGTTGATAGCCAATAATTCATACAAAGTAATATGTAAATGTTAGGTTAAATTAGAAGATGGTAATGAAGGTGATTAAAAGTCTCTCTCTTATTTATGATCCACATTCAGTAAAGTACAGTAGATCTGAAGTTTCATCTACAGGAGCAATACTTATAGATAAAATCACAAAACAATATTTATGATGACTACACTTTTGTTTAAAATGTTTATATAAAACCATAGACTCAAATTGCATACTATGCATAGAAAAGGTCTGGGTAGATATATTTCAAAATCTTTAAGACTGATTCTTTCTTGAGGATGGGATTCTGAGGGCTAGTCTCTCCTAGGTGCTCGTCTGCATTTTGTGAGAGTTCTACAGTGGGCACGATGCACCTTGGAGCAGACAGCAGCTGGGACAGCTGTGATTAGGCCAGCCCTGACTAAGGTTGTCAATCTCTGTCCTCCTGTCTACGTCCCTGCCCTCCTCCATTCCAAAGCTCCAGGCTACAGCCCCTCATTTCTGCTCTGGCCTCCTCCTAGTTTGAAGGATTTGTACAGATAGTCCCATGCTCCCTTTTTGGCTCACAGACCTCAGCCCCGACACCCCATCTCACTCAGATTCTCTTTCTCTCACAAATGCCACCCACCTCATGCACCTGTGCAGACACTCTGCTGGACTTCCAGCTTTGCTGGCTTGCTTCACTCTGTGCCCAGCACAGCTGTCAGTGAAACACACTCTGTCTGCTGATAGACAACCCTGCATACCCCTCCCCATCCCTACCAAGGAAGAGGGATCAGAAAGAAATGCAGGCTCAGTGAGGTTGAGCTGTCTGCCCAAAGACACACAGGTTGCATGGGGTAGAGACAGGGTTTCAGGTTCAAATCCAGAGTGCCTTCCATGACAACACAGCTGCCACTCTTGTCTCTCTTCCTTCTCTCCTCGCCAAAGCACCAGTGAGGGGCCTGGCTTTCCTGGTTTTGTCTGCCCTGTCCCTGCTTAGAGCTGGCTCGTGCCCCCAGGTTACCTGCGGCACCTCCACGGCCGACATGGAGAAGACATGGAGGCAGAAGATCTTGGAGCCGTTGTAGCCGACCACGAAGCCCTGCAGCTTCTGCTGGTGCACGGGGAAGGTGCTGGCTTTGATGTTGAGGTAGCCTCCTCCTGAGAAACAGAGCATGTCCTCACACTGGGTGTTCCAGGCCACGCTGTTGGCATTCGGTTCCTGAGGGACAGGGATGGTGAGGATCCTGTGACAACCACCCTGGGCTTTGGCACCATTCCCACATTCAGTCAAGTACCCTTTTTAAAACCTGGGTTAAGCTAAATTGCTAACAGTGGGATGGAGGGAAAGGGAGGAAAAGGGAATCAGAAGAAATGGAGAGAGGCATAGAGGCAAGCTCTTCTGTGGATTTGTGTATGTTGGAATTTTTTAATAAGCAAACGTTACTTTTGAAAAAGATTATCTCCAAATATTAATCACTACATAATACATAAGAAAATCAGCAAAGTGAATTCTACTTCTGTTAAACAATGAGTATTCATAGCTATGCATAGAAGAAGGTGTAAAGGGACATATTCCAAAGAATTAACAGTGATTGTTTTGGGGTGGCTAGAATTGTGTGTGCTTTTATTTTCTACGTTCTTTGTTTGTCTGAAATTTTCTTTTAGTCATGAACATCTACTGTGTTTTATAATAAGAAAAAGAACAGTGAGTTATTTTTAAAGTTAGAAAATAATATATTGTCTCTGCATTTATAATCCACACACTGTAAAAAGCCACCCTGGGAGGCAGGCACCCCTGCCCACCTCCTCCCAGTTTTCTGCGTGGCTCTGAGCCCCGGGACCAGCAGATGTTCATACCTTCCTGCCTAGAATCTTTTACAATATCTGAATCTCTTATAATGAGCATGTATTCCTCTTATAATGAGGAAAAAAAATACAGCTCTTTTCATGTAAAGAGGGCAGGGGCAGTAGAGAGGAGAAAAAGCTGAGAATACTTATGTCTCCTGGCCAAGTCTGAGAATTACCTCCCTGAGCCCACTACTGAACCCTCACTGGGGACTGGGAAGGACACCCCCCTTCCCTTCCTATATGAGTCTAGGCTAAGACACAGAGTCACAACTGGGGCAGCTAATCTACCTTCAGGCATGGTGTTGAGGTAGGGCAGAAGAGAAGGAACATGGAGGGCCCTATTTTGTGCCAGCCACTGAGCAAGGCACTAATGGTATCTTGTTTAGTCCTGTAGCAATTCTGAGAGGGGGTAATTGTCAGTTCCATTTTAGAGGTAAGGAGAAATTGAGGCTCAGAGAAGTTCACTAACTTGCTCAAGATCACACAGTAAGTAATGAAGGCAGGACTGGAGCCCAGGTCTGTCTGAAGGCAAAGCCCATGCTCTTTCACCTAAACCACTCTACCTTCCCAGTGATGTGAGTGAGTGGTTATCAACTGAGCCAGTTGCAGCCTTGGGCTTCTGGTAGCCAGGTAGTCCTTTCCAAATGACCAAGGTAGCTCCCTACTCTAGCACCCCTCCGCCCTGCTGATTCTGCTGCTGAGGACAAGGGGGAACCCTGGTAAGGGAACCTCAATCTTCCCACAATATTGGGAAACCTGTAGTGGCCAAGGGAGCCGGTCAGGGGAGGTTTCAGCTTTGGGAGGCACTCACTTCAGGAAAATGGGCCCTGACCACTTACAAAGCCCTAAACAGGCAGAGAGCAGTGCTGAGTCCAGTAGAAAGCTGGCCAGGTGCTGGGCACAGAGCCTTTGGGCTCTCTCCAGTGACACACTTCCCACTTCCTCCAGCCACAGGACCAAGTGGTGTGTAAACAACGCCTGTCCCCCAAAACAGTTCACATTTTGCTGGCTCTTATAGCATCCTTGTGAAATAAGTAGAAGGGAGGGCTTCCACTCATCCTTTCCCTTCTCTGAAATGACAAAACTGGTCCTGTTTCCTTACTGTATCTTAGGTCATGCACAGATATAGGCAAGCCCCCAGTAGCTGAGAAGCAGACTTTTTCAAAATCATCATCACATTAACCCATGCACAGAGAGCCTGCAACATACCCCACTTAGATTTATTATTATTTATTTATTGCTCACAGTAACCTTGTAAGGTGTTACTTGCCCATCTTACCTTCAAGGAAACCAAAGTTCAAAGAGGCTTACCCAGCTCCTGCAGCTCGTGTGTGGGAGGGTCAGCCTATGCCCAGGGGCCTCTCAGATTCTGCACCCCTGCTCTGCCCCTACACCCCTACATCTCACTGCTCCTCCCAGAGACCCACCTGGGAGCCAGAGTGTGAGCCCTTCCTGCAGGGACAGAAGCTAGAAGAGGGTCTCTAATCAAAAGACCATGTCCTGGGCATTCTCTGAGACTTCACCTGAAAAAGCAATTCCTTGGTGTGGATGTCATACACCAGGCATGTGTCGTTTTCATCCACCACAGCCAGTTTGTTGCGGGAGGCACTCATGTCCAAGCAGCGCACAGCTGTGGCCTGCTTCAGCAGGACGATTGCAAAGAGATTGTCCACAAAAATCTTCAGGATCTGGCAAAATTTCAGAGAAAAAAGTGTGAGTCACCATGGCAACAAGACCCTGGAACACCGCCAGGCTGTTGGAATCCCATGTGTTCTACAGGAACAACTCCCACCAACTTCACCAGAGGCTCCGTGCAGAGAAGAGGACTCATCGAAAGAAAAGGCGTGGAGGTTCAGCTTTAGGAGACCAGAAGTGTGATTCATCAGAGCTCCCCAAAGTAATGACAGGCTCCAAGACACGACAATTTCTGCTTGAGTGGGGGTTTATTATCATTACCCACACTAAACCATCTAGCAAGATTCGAGTCACAAACTAACAGAAAGAGGCTACTGTAAAAACTGACAAGACATCTGGTATAACCAGAGCAAAACATGATGATGGTGATGGTGACAGTTATCAGTTATTGACTGTTTTTGACAACCCTGTAAAACATGTGGTATTATCCTCATTTATAAAACCTGAGCCTCAGAGGGGTGAAGCGACTTTCCCAGAGTCACACAGCTAGTGAGTACCTAAGCACGAACATGACCCCAGGTTGACTTGCCCCCAAAGCCATGCTCTCAGGCCGTACACTGGAAGTGACAGCTGACTAGGAGAAAGAAGCGGGCTTTCTTCTCTTTGGTGTTGCTACTCTATGGCCCCTTCTAATCTCATCCTCCATGACATCCCTCTCCAGAATAGGCCTGACAAGCCTCAGCCACAGGCCATCTGCTAGACAGCTTGGCTCTCAGGCTAAGGCAGTTATATTTTCACTTTCAAATTTCCATGTAGCCCACTTAGAATTCTTATTTTGCACAAAGAACACACACACACACATCTGTTTAACTTTGTGTAATCTAGATTTTGCACATCTATTTGAGCAAAGGACTCATTTTTCTTATAACATCTAGTAGTAGCCTGAGGACCTGAAGCCTCTAAGTCACAAGCTAGAACACGCTGCCTGAATCCATTCACTGTCCTGCTAGGGATCTGACCTAAGGAATGATCTCTGCCCCCATCTCTAGCAAGTCACTGAAACTGCATCTCCATCAAATCTCCCATCTTCTGGGTGACCCTAAACCCACTAATCCACTCTACGGGCAGCCCAGAAGCTATAGCACGAACTCTGCCAGAATGCCGCAGGCTGTGAGTCTGAGGACCACTGCACTTTTGGCCTACAGCTGTGCTCAAAAAATGAAACTCTGGGCTGCCCTCCATTGTGCCCATAGCGGGGGGATGACACTTTTCCTGCCCTGGGAACTCATCCAGGGTCATAATCAGTCTGGTTGCCTGTGTCTGCATGCAGATAATCAGCCTGATGGGAGACACGAGGGAGCACTCACCTGTCCATTCTTCAGGCCCACTAACAGACCTTCCCTTCCTGGAGGGCCACCAATCACCTTGATGTAGCGAATGAGCGACTCCATCTGCCACTCCCGCTCCTTCACTCCACTGAAGGACAGGCACTGCAGCCGTTTCTCCTAGAAAGCAAACCCAGCTCTGCATGGACACTCAACAACAGAATAAGTGTTCCCAGGCCTCTTAAAGGGGTCTTCCTTCACCTGAGGGATGAACAATACCTATTCATTCAGTATATATCCAACTCCACCTAGTCTCCATGGCCGGCACCATCAATCCTTCACACAAGTCTTCCCCATGGAGCCCAGCTCAGCCTCAGATCTTCTATGCAGACCTCAGGCAGCCACAGGAGAGGCAGCACCCAAAAGCACACCTATCTGGCACACCTATCCCACAACCTGTGGCACCCCTAAACTGCTTGAAGTTCTAGACTTTGAGAAAGATTTTAAGAATATTTTACATTACAGAGATCTCTAAAGGATTTGTTCCACTTTATCACTTCCAATAGGCCTAGTTTCATGAAACCAAATCCACCTCTACTTTCAAGAAAGATGCTGAGCTGGCCTTCTTTCAGTCTTTCTAAATTCTCTTGGCATTGCCCTAGACATTTTCTAGGAAGCTTTAAAGTTGAGAAAATTTTTTCTATGAAAAAAATCTCTCAGGAAGTAAAACTTCCTTTACTATTTTTGAGTTGATATCATAAATTTATTTGTTGTTTAACTGAAAGATATATCCATTTTTATGCATATGTTTACCAAAAAAAATCGATCTTTATTTTGCGGGATATCAATTTATGCTATAAGTCATTAAAATATATATAATTCCAGTATAACAAAGTGTTTTGCAATACAAAAACGTATTTTCCAGTTTATGGTACATGACTTTCTAGTAGAGTCTGAATCACCTAGATATCAATAAAACAAAAGCAATCAACAGCCACTGAGTTTGATGGAAAGGGACTTGTTTCCTAGTGAACAATTTTAAAACCATGAGCTGGGTACCTTATCCTTGGGAGAATCATGAAGTGTATTCAGCCCAACACCTACAACCTGCAGCTGCCCACCTGGCAGAGGATGATGTGGTCAGCACACACCACCAAGAGGTTGCATTCGAACTTCTTGACAATCTTCTCCTTCACCCTGTAATGCATGTCTGACGAGTCATCTGAATACAACTCATAGATGAGGATTTTCTCTGGCAGTTGGATAGCTAATCGATTTTTGTAGATGGCAATTTTCTTGACAAGCTCTTTGCATTTAATCCGAACTGTCAAAGAAAAAAAAAAATCCAGGTCTAGCCAGAGGTGGTTAAGTTAGGTAGAAGGCAGAGAAATTAAAAGCTAAAGGAGATACTCTCATCAAAAAAAAGAAGACTGGCAACAGATATTAGCTCAGGTGCCAATCCTTAAAAAAAAAAAAAAGACCCTTGCAGGTCAGTCAGCCTGGCTCTGATTTTTTAAACATTATCTTTCCTTAGTCAGGGACTCCATGTTCCCCTTGCAATTATCTGAAAAATTTTGTGAGTCTGTGCATTTTGTTTTTGGAGATAGGGTTTATTGCTTTTACTGGATTCTCAGAGACATCTACCTCCTCCCCTCTCCCCTCCACACAAAAAAACCAAGAACCAGTGGTCCAATGTGTTTCTAAAAGACCAAGGAGAAACATTTCCTATCATTTCACTTGCCCTGTGAGCAACCCTTCCAACCTCACCTGCCTCTTACCTTTCTGCTCGGTGATCAGGTGTTGCACGATGACATCAGTCATGCTATCCCTGTAGGCATACCGGTCCTTGTAGAGCCCATGGACTGTGCTGAAAATAAGCTGGTAGAAGGAAATGGTGCCATCCTGGCAGCCTACCACCTGTAGGGAAAGAGAGTTGGCAATTTCCAGCTCTCTGTGGATAAAAAGTCTACCCACCCATTTGTCAGGAACAAACATCAATGATCCAACTTGGCTAAACACGGCTGATATTCAGTGCCCACTCAGGCAATGGCCTAACACGATGAACTTCCTCTTCTTACCACATAGTTGGAATCAGGTTTTACTTTACACGTCCACACCCAGGAGTTCTGCTCCCCAACAGTTCCAAGCCGCACTCCATCCTTGGTGAAAAGGGACACTTGCTTGTCTGATCCCCCCAACAAAATGTACTCCCCTTTAGTAAAGTAGCTGATGCAGCAGGGGTCAAAGTTCAGTGACCGATCCCTTCCAATCTGAGAAAAGAGAAGACACACCAAGGGAAAAACCAGTTCTGTATTCATAATAATCACAATATAATTAGGGGCTTTTCCAACTGATTTTAATGGGGAGGGTTGGGAAGACAGGGGAGAGCTGGCCAGCCTCATCTCCTATGTGATTCCATGGTAAACACAAGCCAGCCTCCTCTGGAGCATCCTCCACCACTAGAGTCAGTAGCACCTCCCCTAGTCCCACCTAACTGCTCCAGGAGTGTGTTTTAGCTCCTCAGCCAATCCGTACCCAGAGATGGTCTTTTCCCATAGGCCTTCCTCTGCACATAGTCCTTGCTAGGGTTCAATGGTTCCCATCAGCTTCTTTTTTTTAGTATTTCATAAAACCAAATTTACTCAGTTTAAAAAACTGTCCTTTATTCTGAAACTACATCCATCTTACTTCTCATTATAACAATCTTATTGAGGTATAATTCTCATACTATACAATTCACCAATTTAAAGCGTACAACTCATTGGCTTTTAATATATTTGGAGTTGTGCAACCATCAGCACTAATTCCAGAACATTTCCATCACCCCAATAAGAAACCACAGACCTTAGTAGTCAATCCCAATTCCCCCCTTTCCATCCCCTTACAATCACCAATCTACTTTCTGTATTTATGGATTTGCATATTTTGGATATTTTATATAAATGGCATCAGACAATATGTAGCCTTTTGTGACTGATTCATCCATGTCGTAGCATGTATCGGTACTTCATTCCTTTTCATTGCCGAATAATATTCCATTACATGGATACACATTTCATTTATGTATTCATCAGTTGATGGCCCTTTCTACTTTTTGGCTACTATGAATAATGGTGCTATGAATATTTGTGTACAAGTTTTTGTGTGGACATATGTTTTCATCTTTCTTGGATATATATTCCTATGAGCGGAATTGCTGGGTCATATGGTAACTTTATGTTTAACCTTTTGAGGAACAGCCAGCCTTTTTCAAAGTTGACTATACAATTTTATATTTGTACAGTAGTGCATAAGGGTTCCAATTTTTCCATCCTAGTGAGTCTGAAGTGGTATTTCATTGTGATTTTGACTTGCATTTCTCTGGTGTCTAATGATGCTGAGCATCTTTTCTTGTGCCTATTGGCCACGTGTTTATCTTATTTGGACAAATGTCTATTCAGATCCTTTTTCCATTTTTTAATTCGATTGCCTTTTTATTACTGAGTTGCAAGAGCTCTTTATACATTCTAGATACAAGTCCCTAATCAGATATATGCTTTATAAAAATTTTCTCCCATTCTGTGAGTTGTCTTTTCACTTTTGATGGTGTTCCCTCAGCTTTTAGGATGAAGGTCAAGCTCCTGAGCTTACCTCCCAATATCTTTCTCTCAGCCAAAATGAACTTCTTATAGTTTCCCTAGTGGACCATGCGCTTTCAGGCCTCCATGTTCTCACAGGTGCTATTCTCCACACCACCCTAGCCCTGGCCAGGGGTGCCGTCTCCCTCTCCTTCTTTGCCAGGTGTCAGCTCCTCCAGGAAACATCCTCCAATCTCCCAGCCACACCCAAGGCCTGATTTAATCCCCCCTCCCATGTGCTCCCATGGCCCCTGTGCTTGCCTCTCCCACAGCACTGGTCTGTAGTGACAGGTTTAATTTGATGCCCTCCACCCCAAACCCCAAGTTCCTTATTGGAGTTTTTTGCTGCCTCTGAGGGTACCTTTGTGAATAAAAAGACTATTTATGTTTACCATTATTAAACTAGTAGTTTATTAAAGAAATAACTCTAAAAACTGGGTTTTCCTTAGGTTTTTAAGTTCCATTTCTAAGACTGGTAAAAGTAAACAACCAATTGAAAAGGGGCCTTTGAGTAATGTTTACTGAATTAAATTGTGAACAGACCAAAAAAATCCCTCAGTCAGCCTCGTTTACAACTTAGTTAATTCCCCTAAACTAACTTAAACTGCGATTATTAATTTAACATATTCATTTTCCTTTTTAAGGCTTTCAAATGCCTAACAACCCAAAACTTTCCCTAGTACTTGTATAATGATAGTAAATCTAATAAGAAAAATAAAAAATCCTATGAGTCATGACATGGAAATCTTGCAGCTTCTGGTAATAGCTCACTAGTTCCCACTGGACCAATTCTCCTACAAGTAACAACCATAAACTCTGGATCAACTATAAATTACAACCACTTGAAGGCACTGGAGAGCAACCAGAAGCAGACAGAAATGGAAGATACAGGTGCATTTGAAAGAAAGGAATGGCATTAGGTGAGTCTCTCATTTTTTAATGTTCTTTTTTTGCCTGAGGACAGGCCCCAGCAGCATCCTGCTGAATGAGCACAGAATTTGGAGTGACCACAGAAGCTTGAAAGTGAGGTGGGAAATCCCAGAAAAGAGACAGATGCAGAGGGGGAGCCTAAATTCTGCACATACACTCTGCTGAATATCTGGAACCCCTTGAACTACACATGTGTGGGGCAGATGCCAAGCAGCCTAGCAAAGCTTAAGAACTGAACAGAGACTTAAGCTGCTGCCCACACTGGAAAGATGGAGTTTGAATGCTGAGTCCAGCAAAGTTAACTACCTGCTTTAAAAAAAGCCAACTACACAATAATCTTCAGAGAAACATGACAGAAGTGAGTCCCTATGATATATCATTCACAATGTGTAGAATATAACCCCAAATTCCAAAAAGCAGAAAAATGTGAACCATATTCAAGAGAAAAGACAATCAATAGAGACTGATCCCAAGATGATCCAGATGTTGAAATTAGCAGATTAGAATTTAAAAATAGCTAGTTTAACTATGGTCAAGAATCTAAAGGAAAATATATTTGTAATAAATGAACAAATAGGAAAAAAGAACCAAATGTAAATTCTGGAACTGAAAATCCAACAAGTGAAACAAAAATTCACTGGATGAGCTTAACAGAAATATTACAAATGACAGAAAAGTCAGTGAAGTAGAAGACTGAGCAATAGAAATCCGCCAATCTGAAGATCAGAGAAACAAAAAAAAAAAATTAAGAGATGCTTTTCTTGAGTGACGTAAGCATCACGGTGGAGTGAACTTGCCTGGGATTCTCTCCCCTCCAACATACGACGAAAACGGACATCCATACTCCAGCAGAGGACATCCTAACACAACACCAAAATGTTGGAGAGACACGCAGCCATACCAAGGAGGGCGGAGAGGCTGGGGCCCCCCTCAGAGGAGCTGGAACGGGGTAAGAGAGAACTTCATCCTCTCCCCTAAAGACTGCAATCCGTGACCGTGGGAGGCTCTGAGAGGGAAGGAATAGGGGAGAGGACGTTTGTTCGTGGGAACATCAAGGACCCCTGAGGACCCATGCAACCTAGAGGGAAGCCCTCTACTGGGGCGAGAGCTTTCGTAGGGGGGTGACCTTGTCAAGCCAACACCCCAGGAGAGCAAATAGTGAGAGCAGAGTGAGAAAGCCCAGAGTGCATGTAGGAGAAAGTGCTCCTCCTCCAACCTGCCCCGTGCTGGCTCCACTGCCTGGTATCTCAGCTGAAGGCAGAGGGCTCAGAATACGCTGCTCTTGACCCACACCCAGTGGTGATAGGTGGTAACTGCAACCAAATAATAACAGGATGCGTAAGATCCAAGCCACCCCTTCTAGCAATATCAAAAATTATATCAAATCTCCAGACCAGAGAGAAAACAAGTACCTAGAATTCAGTCCTGAGGACACAGAAATATGTAATCTAAATGATAATGAATTTAAAATGGCTATCATCAAAAAACTCAATGAGGTAAAAGAAAATGTAGAGAAACAATTCAACAAGTTCAGAAGCTACTGCACAAAAGAGACTGAAACTATAAAGAAGAATCAATCAGAAATGTTAGAGACGAAAGACACAATGGAAGAGATAAAACAGAATACAGATTCCCTGAAAGCTCGAGTAGACATCATTGAGGAGTGTATCAGCATAATCAAGGATAAACATGTTGAAACGCTCCACACAGACGAGAAGAGAGAATTAAGACTAAAAAGAAATGAAGAAAGTCTCCAAGAAATATCTGACTCAATTAGGAAATGCAACATAAAAATTATAGGTATTCAAGAAGGAGGAGAGAAGGAGAATGGAGCAGAAAGCATGTTCAAAGAAATAATAGCAGAGAACTTCCCAAACCTAGGGAAAAAGAGGGAAATCCATGTGGAAGAAGCTTCCAGATCTCCTACATATGTCAATGTAAAAAGACCGACTGCAAGGCATATAGTAGTAAAACTGGCAAAAATGAACAACAAAGAAAGAATACTAAGGGCAGCAAGGCAGAAGAAAATAACCTAGAAAGGAACCCCTATCAGGCTTTCAGAGGATTTCTCAGCAGAAACCTTACAAGCTAGGAGAGAAAGGAATGACACATTCAAATCTTTTAAAAGACAAAAATTTCCAGCCAAGAATACTCTATCCAGCAAAAATATCCTTCAGATATGATGGAGAAATAAAAACTTTCCCAGACAAACAAAAGGTAAGGGACTTTGTAGCCACAAACTGCCCCCCACACCAAGAAATCCTCAAGAAGGCCCTCATACCTGAAAAAAAAAAAAAGCAGACAAAAGGGTCACAAAGCACGGAGTAAGGAGATAAATAGGTAGACAGAATCAGAATAGGACAGCAAATACTCAAGTATAGCATTAAAGATAAAAGGAAGGAAAACACCAAAAACAAAGGAAATCTTGTCATTTTTAACCATAAACTCACAACACAAGATGGAATAAGATGTGAGAAAAACAACTTAGGAGAGGAGGAGGCAAGGGACTACATTGGTTTAGACTAAGGAAATAAGAGGCCATCAGAAAATGGACTATCTTATACATGAGATTCTGAATACAAAACTCATGGTAACCACTAAACAAAAAAGCAGAACACAGACACAAAGAATAAATAAGGAGAAAACAAATAAACACATCATAAAAAACTACATAATTCAATGGGGTGACCAAAACACACAGGACGAGAAACAAAGGAAATGCA